CATATTTTCGATTTCTCTAATACTTTCGATTTCTGGTCTTGGCATAGACTGTTTTATGTTTTCCCCATATTTGAGGTTGTTCCTTTGATGATAGTAATAACCCCCTTACTTGGCAACTCCCAATCTTGGCTTACCTCCTGCGTTCACATTTCTGTTTGATTCCCCCACAGTTATTGGCTCCTGACACAGTTTCTTCTCCTTTGATGAGAATGCCTCAGTGTTTTCCTGTCTTCTGCATTGTGTGCATTCTATTCTCACCGTATTGCTCTCTTCAGAATAGAGCACAAAACATATTTTCGATTTCTCTAATACTTTCGATTTCTGGTCTTGGCATAGACTGTTTTATGTTTTCCCCATATTTGAGGTTGTTCATTTGATGATAGTAATAACCCCCTTACTTGGCAACTCCAAATCTTGGCTTACCTCCTGCGTTCACATTTCTCTTTGATTCCCCCACAGTTATTGGCTCCTGACACAGTTTCTTCTCCTTTGATGAGAATGCCTCAGTGTTTTCCTGTCTTCTGCATTGTGTGCATTCTATTCTCACCGTATTGCTCTCTTAGGAATAGAGCACAAAACATATTTTCGATTTCTCTAATACTTTCGATTTCTGGTCTTGGCATAGACTGTTTTATGTTTTCCCCATATTTGAGGTTGTTCCTTTGATGATAGTAATAACCCCCTTACTTGGCAACTCCCAATCTTGGCTTACCTCCTGCGTTCACATTTCTGTTTGATTCCCCCACAGTTATTGGCTCCTGACACAATTTCTTCTCCTTTGATGAGAATGCCTCAGTGTTTTCCTGTCTTCTGCATTGTGTGCATTCTATTCTCATCGTATTGCTCTCTTCAGAATAGAGCACAAAACATATTTTCGATTTCTCTAATACTTTCGATTTCTGGTCTTGGCATAGACTGTTTTATATTTTCCCCATATTTGAGGTTGTTCCTTTGATGATAGTAATAACCCCTTACTTGGCAACTCCAAATCTTGGCTTACCTCCTGCGTTCACATTTCTGTTTGAGTCTCTACTGTTATCGGCTCCTGACACAGTTTCTTCTCCTTTGATGAGAATGCCACAGTGTTTTCCTGTCTTCTGCATTGTGGGCATTCCATTCTCACCGTACTGCTCTCTTCGGAATAGAGCACAAAACAATTTTTCGATTTCTCTAATACTTTCGATTTCTGGTCTTGGCATAGACTGTTTTATGTTTTCCCCATATTTGAGGTTGTTCATTTGATGATAGTAATAACCCCCTTACTTGGCAACTCCAAATCTTGGCTTACCTCCTGCGTTCACATTTCTCTTTGATTCCCCCACAGTTATTGGCTCCTGACACAGTTTCTTCTCCTTTGATGAGAATGCCTCAGTGTTTTCCTGTCTTCTGCATTGTGTGCATTCTATTCTCACCGTATTGCTCTCTTCAGAATAGAGCACAAAACATATTTTCGATTTCTCTAATACTTTCGATTTCTGGTCTTGGCATAGACTGTTTTATGTTTTCCCCATATTTGGGGTTGTTCCTTTGATGATAGTAATAACCCCCTTACTTGGCAACTCCCAATCTTGACTTACCTCCTGCGTTCACATTTCTGTTTGAGTCTATACTGTTATCGGCTCCTGACACAGTTTCTTCTCCTTTGATGAGAATGCCACAGTGTTTTCCTGTCTTCTGCATTGTGGGCATTCCATTCTCACCGTACTGCTCTCTTCGGAATAGAGCACAAAACAATTTTTCGATTTCTCTAATACTTTCGATTTCTGGTCTTGGCATAGACTGTTTTATGTTTTCCCCATATTTGAGGTTGTTCATTTGATGATAGTAATAACCCCCTTACTTGGCAACTCCAAATCTTGGCTTACCTCCTGCGTTCACATTTCTCTTTGATTCCCCCACAGTTATTGGCTCCTGACACAGTTTCTTCTCCTTTGATGAGAATGCCTCAGTGTTTTCCTGTCTTCTGCATTGTGTGCATTCTATTCTCACCGTATTGCTCTCTTCAGAATAGAGCACAAAACATATTTTCGATTTCTCTAATACTTTCGATTTCTGGTCTTGGCATAGACTGTTTTATGTTTTCCCCATATTTGAGGTTGTTCCTTTGATGATAGTAATAACCCCCTTACTTGGCAACTCCCAATCTTGACTTACCTCCTGCGTTCACATTTCTGTTTGATTCCCCCACAATTATTGGCTCCTGACACAGTTTCTTCTCCTTTGATGAGAATGCCTCAGTGTTTTCCTGTCTTCTGCATTGTGTGCATTCTATTCTCACCGTATTGCTCTCTTCAGAATAGAGCACAAAACATATTTTCGATATCTCTAATACTTTCGATTTCTGGTCTTGGCATAGACTGTTTTATGTTTTCCCCATATTTGAGGTTGTTCCTTTGATGATAGTAATAACCCCCTTACTTGGCAACTCCAAATCTTGGCTACCTCCTGCGTTCACATTTCTGTTTGAGTCTCTACTGTTATCGGCTCCTGACACAGTTTCTTCTCCTTTGATGAGAATGCCACAGTGTTTTCCTGTCTTCTGCATTGTGTGCATTCTATTCTCATCGTATTGCTCTCTTCAGAATAGAGCACAAAACATATTTTCGATTTCTCTAATACTTTCGATTTCTGGTCTTGGCATAGACTGTTTTATGTTTTTCCCATATTTGAGGTTGTTCCTTTGATGATAGTAATAACCCCCTTACTTGGCAACTCCAAATCTTGGCTTACCTCCTGCGTTCACATTTCTGTTTGAGTCTCTACTGTTATCGGCTCCTGACACAGTTTCTTCTCCTTTGATGAGAATGCCACAGTGTTTTCCTGTCTTCTGCATTGTGGGCATTCCATTCTCACCGTACTGCTCTCTTCGGAATAGAGCACAAAACAATTTTTCGATTTCTCTAATACTTTCGATTTCTGGTCTTGGCATAGACTGTTTTATGTTTTCCCCATATTTGAGGTTGTTCATTTGATGATAGTAATAACCCCCTTACTTGGCAACTCCATATCTTGGCTTACCTCCTGCGTTCACATTTCTCTTTGATTCCCCCACAGTTATTGGCTCCTGACACAGTTTCTTCTCCTTTGATGAGAATGCCTCAGTGTTTTCCTGTCTTCTGCATTGTGTGCATTCTATTCTCACCGTATTGCTCTCTTCAGAATAGAGCACAAAACATATTTTCGATTTCTCTAATACTTTCGATTTCTGGTCTTGGCATAGACTGTTTTATGTTTTCCCCATATTTGAGGTTGTTCCTTTGATGATAGTAATAACCCCCTTACTTGGCAACTCCCAATCTTGACTTACCTCCTGCGTTCACATTTCTGTTTGATTCCCCCACAATTATTGGCTCCTGACACAGTTTCTTCTCCTTTGATGAGAATGCCTCAGTGTTTTCCTGTCTTCTGCATTGTGTGCATTCTATTCTCACCGTATTGCTCTCTTCAGAATAGAGCACAAAACATATTTTCGATATCTCTAATACTTTCGATTTCTGGTCTTGGCATAGACTGTTTTATGTTTTCCCCATATTTGAGGTTGTTCCTTTGATGATAGTAATAACCCCCTTACTTGGCAACTCCAAATCTTGGCTACCTCCTGCGTTCACATTTCTGTTTGAGTCTCTACTGTTATCGGCTCCTGACACAGTTTCTTCTCCTTTGATGAGAATGCCACAGTGTTTTCCTGTCTTCTGCATTTTGAGCATTCCATTCTCACCGTACTGCTGTCTTCGGAATAGAGCACAAAACAATTTTTCGATTTCTCTAATACTTTCGATTTCTGGTCTTGGCATAGACTGCTTTATGTTTTCGCCATATTCCTTTTTGTAAACGAGCTCCTTTTTTCTCCTACAACCGCAAGTTTCCATACACAACTGCTTTCGAATTTAATTGTTCATCTTATTAGATATGTAAAAGCTCACACAATTGATTCTTTTTTCGGTCGCAGATCAAACGCCTGCGTCAGATTGCTCAGTGCTCCGAAGAATGATTCCATACTCTCGTTCTTTCTGAACTTTCTTCCAAATATCGCAAATCCCCGTCTTATGACATTTTTTTTCAAGAACGCATCCGATGGCACTTCCACAGCTGTGAAAAGTTAATATCCACAATCTTGTTTTGTGAGTAGTGTTGGTTAAAAACACTCGGCCTTGCATCCACAGGAACAAGATTAAATTTGATTCCAATCTCTTATCCGATTCAGCCCGGGTGCCCCCTCTGCATAGCCCCTTCTCCTCATCTGCTCGCCGGGTTTATTCTTCTCTCCGTTTTGTTTTTGCCGCGTTGTTTCTCCCATTTTTCTTGGTCCTTGACGCCGCATCTTCAGTTTTCTTCAACGTGAGATATGTATTTTCTGCTACAGCATTCTCATCCAAAAGATCTCTTACATCTTTTTGTTTTTTTTTGCTATCACCATTAATTGGGCCCCATCTTCCAAGGTACCGGAGATTCCAGGGGTGGGTCGTTCCCAAAGACGTCTAGGCCGCGATAGCTCGATTCTGTCTGTGACTACGCCATGTGGAAGTATGTGCATCCAGTACTCCCTATCAGTTAACTTTATAACAATACTTGAAAGATTCAACTAAAAATCAACCCGTACACAGTGGCTACTGGCACCAAGTTCAGTTCAGGTTAACAATTAAGTTGGTCCTGATGGTCATCATACATTACAAAATACTGTAAAATAAGTATATCTAATGGTAATGTTACGTATCTACACCACATGAAAAAGAGCCGAATACCCATTTTTGCATCTTGTTTACACCGTTCAGTTTGTATAGATAGTTGCGAAATTTCGGTTTGTCAAAATTAACTGAGAGGAAGAAACTCTCCATTTTGACAATAATTTTACAAGGAACTTCGATGTTTTCGATATCCTTGATACACAACTTCTATCTGACAATATAGCTTTTTTTGAAGACACCACTTGGTAGACAGCGTAGAAAGCTATTTGGTGCTTTTCCAAGATCCAAGGGCCAGGTTTAATTTGGTCTGTTCAGGGGTGCCCAGAAAGTGTCGAGTGAGATGATATTCCTTCTAGACGTGGACTCGCGAGAGTACCGGAGAGGTCAGAAACAGTACGAGTGCTATTTCATAGGTCAGTCAAATCTAACACTCCTTGAATCACCAGTCAATTCTGAAACTCCTCAAATCATCAGTCAATTTCAAAAAGAAAACGGCAAACTTTTATGACAGAAAAAATTTAATGAAAGTAGCGAATATACTGAATTTTTGATTGTTACGAGCAGATACTATTTTACCGGGACGTCCAGTATTTAACCCTGTTTTTCAAAATCTGTCAAATATAACACTTTCGCTGCTATTTTCTTTATATTATTTCTGTCTGTTCAGAATTTTTACGTGTGTTATCAAAATCGTTGCCAACATTTTAACAATCTTTTTTCTTTTTTCGACCGTGAAGAGCATTTAGACTTATTGGATTAGATTAGATCTGACTAACATATAACACATTTGTTGTTCTTTTTCTTTGAAAATATTTCTGTATATTCGTTATGTGTTATCAAAATTCTGGCATAACTAAATTTTAACGTCTTTTTTCGATATTGAAGAGCAATTAGAATTATTTGAGACACTTAAGATCTGACAAACATTAATTGTGCACCTGTTGATTGACAGACCAGAGTCTGGACAACCAGGATGACCCGGAGGAGATCTTCTCCTTCGCAGAGTACTTCATGGCATCACTGTACGAGGGGTGTTTCCTGCGCAAACACGAGGCAGAGGCCTACATGGGACTGTTCTGCTCACGACAACTGCTCGGTATAATACTTTATCTGCTTGAGACTACCCGTCTTTTTTTCCTAAATTGTGTAATTTCGACGATTTAGTGTAATTTGGTGTAATTTCGACGAAGCCAAGACTGCTCGTAATCCGTCTTAGAAAATGAAAAAAAAATCTAAAACTTGAATTTTTTACCTAAAAATTATCCCCCCACACGCCATTTAAAGTAAAAAAGAATAGATTTCGCTCCTTGTAACAAATCAATTATCGCAAATAAGCTTCTTTCAACCAATTTTAACTCTCCGCTTACGCGTTAATAGCGCAAAATATATCGCTCGTTAATTGTCCCGAATTGGCCAAAATGGCAAGCTTTAAACCCCCATAACTTTACGAAAAAAAATCGCAGGTGAAATATCTTTTCAAATTTGAGCTCAGGACAACAATACCTTTCAAATGATATAAAAAAATTCCGTCAAAAATGGCTAGTTAAAAAGTCGCAATTTGTCTGAAGAAAAAAAAAACCCACCCCGAGCACAAATATTCCGTTACTTTCGTATCGAAAGTCTGAACAACAATTTGACATTTGATATTAAAGCGCTACAATGGTTACCTTGCAAGAATCTTTCAAGATAATTATAAGTTACCACGATTCTTGCAAGATCTTGTAAGACAACAATTGACCATTGACTAACGGAGTGGAAAAGCCAGTCAGTTCAAGGGGGATTTTAAATTAATTAAATTAGTCAAACTTTTACTCAAGTTATGAGCAATGATAATTAAGCGTGAAGACGCGAAGAAACTGAACTCCTATTTTAAATTTTATTAAAATAACTTTTAAAAATTTAGTCAACTTTGATCGACCCCCCGCAGGACTTCAGGCCAATCTCAGATCCAACATGACGCAAAACAGAAGACTCCCTTTCCAACCCCCCGCTTTTGGCGACTCACTACCCCCTGATGGCAATAGCCGGACTGGAGTTCGCAATAACGAAAGCCGAAAACCAAGAGCAGAAGTTGACGAAGCGATTGAAACGAGTGAACAGATTCGGATAAACCGACAAATCGAGTCCGAAGTTGGGTTTAAGTCACGTGTTCTCAAATCCAGGGGCGGCAACGCAGCCGGGGGGAGCAGACAGGATCCGAGAAGGGGAAACAGGGAGAGCGGAGGACAGCCGTCTAATAGTCGTTTTCTGAATGCATACTCCAGGGTTGAACTGGAGCGACCTCTGAGTCCAGTGTGGAATCACGGGATCACCTACCCAGACAGGGGGAAACCAGTGGTTAATCCGGCAAGGGGGGTGAAAATAAGCTCGGAGGAGCGCGAGGAAGATATAAGGTCAGTGAAAACTTGTTTACTTCATAACTTTTGTCATCAATTGACCATAATTACTTGATGACTCACAGGTTTTGTAAATGCTACGCGGCAGTGTAACGAATTGCATACGTGCCCATGTCCAATGAAAAATCAGTTGAAGGGGGCTTAAGCTTGTAAACTTTTTTGTCGACTTTTTTTAGAGTTTGGCTATTTCCATTTATGGTCAGAGTAAGAAGATGCCAATATCTCCGCAGTTCCATGCAATGCAATGTTTTTGATGAGCTGCTCAATCTATACATTTTTGATGTCATCATCCATGATCTTACTCTTCTTTACTTTCTTCAATTGGCTATCTATCAAGCCCCCCACCCCTCGCCGCCATCACAGCCAATTACTAACGTGTCATTTAAGCATAACGTGAACTCTTTTTTCTTTCCCTTCAAGGCCGGACTCGAAGCAGATAAAGGCGCCCCTGCGAACTCACTTTGAGCGAAACATCTGCCAGCTGGACCATCGCAATCATGAGTTCTTCGAACAAGTTCACAAACTGATCCTTCTAAACCTGATGGACAAATCCACCTCAGATCAGGGTTGTCATGTTTTAAAACCCTGAAATTCAGAAAAACCAGTAAAACCTTAAGCCATCAAAAAATTTGGGGATGGTTTAAGGTTTAGGGCTGAGGATTTTTTTTATTGGGGGGGATCAGCCTTTCATAGTTTGAACCCCTCACATTTTTTTAGTTGGACCAAAATAAACCTTTTTTGAATAAAATGAATTTTTCAAATTCAGGCCAACTTAGATGAGTCAAAATCTTTTAAATAAAAAATGCTTCTGTTATGAAGATTTACTAAACTTCATATTTGTACAGAGATAAGTTTCAAAATTAAAGGGTTTCGGCTCGGAAAACGGTCTGTTATTTGCATCTGAAGAAGTTAAACACACATTTTGTAAATTAAAGTGTTGCTTACTTCAAATTTTGAACAAGAACTCAGCGGAAAATAGGATTACGAGAGCAAACCGTGCACTTGGTACGTACAGTTTTTGATGTGTGTAGGTCGCTTTAATCCAGAGACAAGTCTTTAAAAATGAAGCTAATCGATTCAAACAGTTGAGGGTAAATCTTCTGATTCATCTCTGTTCAATCTCTAAGTTTTCAATACCTTCTTTTAAGTTTTAGAAAACGAATCTCGCACAATTAATGGAAATTGAATTGAAATGAAGTTTATTAATTGAAAATTAGTTAAGAGCCTTTTACTTCTTCAAGTGCTGCGTCTTACCTTCAAAAAAAACTGGGTTTATTATAATTCAGTCTATTGATAAAACCAAACAAAACATTTCTTCCAAGTGTGAAATACTCGAGTACTACGCCCAGAAATGCGCCCAGTGTAAAATACTATAGCAAAAAAATACCCCCCCCCCCCCCCCCCACTAAATCTCCTCTATGACAACCCTGGGCTCTTGTGTTAGGACATGTTGAGTGCCCTGTACAAGATACTGCAGGGCCACGGGTGGAAAGTGTTCTGTGTGATGATGCTCAACTTGGCGATCCAGGAGGCAATCTTCGCCTACAGGGACACGAGAGTGTCAGTTGATGTGATAAATGTGCAGTTCAAAAAGTACAGGGAGGAGTTGAACTTTGTGTTGGGAAGTGACCTTCAGGAGAAATCGAGCGACTACGTCAGTCTCCTTTTGAGGTACGTCTGACATAGAAAAATCCCAAAGCACTAAAAAGACCCTGTTTTGGCCGAAATTTCAGCGCCGCATGCAAAATTTTGAAAAAACAGACAAAAAAGGCGTTTTTAGGCATTTTTTGGAAAATTTTTTACCAAAAAATTGAGTTTTTTCGGCGCGCGCTCCCCCTCAAAATAAGTATATATTGGCGCCAGTGGCGCCTTTAGAAAAAATTTAAGGTCAGTCAGACAAAAATGGGGATATCTCAAAATAGTACAAAGGGGGGCCCGAATTTTTGCCTTTAGGTCGGCAGGGGGTCGAATTGCTGAGAAAAAGCATAAAACCCCAGGCCCCCTCCTCTCCCCCTAAATCCACTACTGGTGTGTCATATAGTCATTAAATTACTTCCCTCTAATTCCTTCAGTTTTAGGTTCTTAAACGCTGTCTACCATCTGCCTATTTCCGGTGCTAATTAGCGTTGGCAGGTACTGGGGCTTTCGGTGCTGTCTGTCACCTTAGGCTGACCTCTAAAAGGGCGCCTTGATTATACTCTGTGAAACTAAGCAAACACACAAAACAAATAAAACAAAACAGATTCCAAAAAACAAATAGGGGAAAGAAATCTGCAGTAAACAATAGTTGTTAATAAATGGAACAATTTAAACGTGAAGCTGAGAAAAGTTAAAATTAAACAAAAGTATGAATTTGAAAGTTTAATTGGAAATACACGAAAAAAATTCCTATTGACAGATCAATCCATTAGTTCTTTTCGAGATTTTTTTTCAATTTTTCATTTATACAAGTTGTATTTGTATATTTACACGCCAGTGTAGTTGTTGATTTTTAACTTATTATGATAGTTCCATTTTGTAGTAGCATGTATGTTTAACCAAGCGGTTATTTTGAGTTTACAAGTTTGTGAAAAAAATGATAAGTTATCGGAGAGAGATACAACTTTCTATCGTTTTTATAATCCATTTAGTGTTGATTTCGTTGAATGACGTCGGCATGAGAATCGATTATATTGACTACACTTTACTCCACGAAAATCCATTAAAGTAGTTCTGTTTTACTTAAATTACAGGCGAATGGTCTAATTGTATCCTGCTGGCGAAACAAACTAACAAATAAAATAATCGCAAGGAAAACCAATCAGTATTTAATAATGGTTTTATCAGGATACCTTTTTTGTTCCGACCATTGAAAATGGGATTGAAGTTTGTAATAGGATGTGTTTTTATTTTGCTTTTGCGCCCTAAATCAGCTACCACAAAGAAATAATCATCGGAATGAGCTGAGTGATATATCAAATTGAAGTCTTTTCAGTTTTGGTTTTCTGAAAATTGTGTTTTCTCCAAAAAAACTTCTCAGTGACGAGAAAAACCGGTTTGGTTTTTTTAAGTTTTCGTCTAATTTCGAGCGAGCATGCTTATAATAGCAGATTTATGAATAATTCAAGCCGTAAAAACTTAGTTTTACTAACCAAAAATGTTTTTTGATTTGATTTTGGCGCCACATTGGGAATTAAAAAATTCAAAGTTTCAAAAAACCTGTGCAAAAAAAATGAAAAACTTTTCCAAATTCGTTTTAACAAATTTTCATTACTTTTTTTGATTTTCTAGTCTTTTTCATTCAAAAAAATTTCTCCAGTTGTACATTTGCTTATTTTACTACAAATTTTTTGCGTGTCCAAGTTCTGTTTTTTCACTCAGATTTTTTTTGATTTTTTTTGTGTTTTGTAAGACTATGGTCAGTGTGATACTCTAGGAACTCTGAGTTTTGTGCAAAATTAATTTTACTATATGTTTGACCCAAAGTTCTCTGAGCTGTAATATCTTCTTAGAGAGATAGCTGCCGAGTTACGCTCTTGCATAACACAACTCTGCCATGTGTACATGGCTGCAAGGTTAGATCTCATTTGACCTTGACCTGAATATATAATACTTTAAATAAAGTTTGATAACATTAATAGCATCAAAGTAACTTTTGGCGCCACAGGGTTTTTTGGGCTGATTTGGCGTCACATTGGGAATCAAAAAATTCAAAATTTCAAAAACCATCTGCAAAAAAATGAAAAAGCTTTTCAAAATCCTTTTAAAACTTTTTCATGACTTTTTCTTCTTTTTGTAGTCACTTTCATTCAAAAACACTTGTCCAGTTGTACATTTGCTTATTTTACTATGATTTTTGAGTGTGCCCAAGTTCTAATTTTTCATTCAGATTTTTTTCGATCACACCACACAGAAAAACTACACTAATTTGAAAAAAATGTTTGTGTTTTTTAAGACTATGGTCGGAACACTCTGTGCTAATTTCACAGTAAATGGTTATCCTTTTTTTAAATTTTGTTTGATATCGAAAATACATTGAAGCTGCGCCAAGAAACTTCAGCTGTTCAACTCAAAATAGGAAGATAACCGAGGCCCCCGTGTAGCAGCAGTTTTTGTTGATAAAATTTTTCAGTTGATAAAGTCAAATCGATTAAGCTCTGAAAGACAAGAATCTTTCAAGTCTAGTAAACTTTAAAAAATGTGGATAAATTTATCTTGCGTTCCTAGATGCAACTATCAGTTAGACCAAATCTCACAGCGTCAAGATGCCCCAACTGTAGACCTCCTGGATGTGGTGCCTCTGTCCATAGAGACCATTGAGACTCTAAGGAGTGTGAACAGTATGGTGGAGGCCCAGCTGATCTGGAGCATGGAGAACATCCAGACTGGCCAGTTTCCCATAGTCATGCAAGCCATAGACAGACTAAGGACTCAGTATCCCAGGTAACAAACAAATACAAACATGAAAGCCCTTCAGCATACGTTCAAGTTTGGTATTTGTTAGATGGTGAACTATATTAAGTTATCACGTTTATCAGGTTTATTCATGTAACAAACCGTCCTTGAGAGCAATTCCTTATTAATATTGTTAAGAGGACTCAGTATCCCAGGTAACAAACAGATTTGAACGAGGTGAACAGTTTCAGAATGAGGTGATCATTTTCAGCCCATTTTAAGAAAATAGCGATCAGCAATGAGCTGCCCGATAGGATTTGATGCCAATTTTGAATATTTACAGACCGATTTTGGCTTGTTTTTCTATACAAAAACATCGCAAACTGAGCTAATTGCGTGAAAATTCCACAAACGATAATGACAAACTCACGCAAACACGCGTCCCGTTGTGTTGAAAGTAAAAAATTGACCAAAATTACTAGTGTGGGGTCTGCTAGCCTTTTTCAGTGCTGTTTTTTTTCGCAAATGGTGTTTGCTGGCCACTTAAGTTTGATTACCACTAATTTGCTGCGTGTTCAACCGTCTCGACCATCAATTTTTTGAAAAAATCTTTATGTAAGTCTCACAAAATGAGACTAACATTTTGCAATGCAATATCATCAAATGAAGTCAATTTGAAAGATATGTCTCGGCTGTTTAGAGACCACGTGATCCCGTCGACGCCTGTCATCCGTCGCGAGAAGGGCCAGAAGTTTGCGCCGAAGAGCAAGTGGCGACCCCCCACACAGCAACGGGCAGACACCTTTGTGCATGGGAATGAACACAGACCAATCATAGATCAGGACGAAATGTTTGTCGTACTCCAGGTAAAGTCACTTGTCGATACCCGCCCCCTTTACTTACACATACAAGTGTTTTTGGGTTATTCATAAAACTTGCGGAACCCATATCTTCCATAGACTTTGCTTTTCTAGGGGCATGACAACCATGCTTCCATGCTTGTAGCTTCAATGTATAAGCATACGCATGGATTATCTGTTTGAAATGAGTCTTAGACTGTTTAAAAAGATGTGTGATTTGTTGTGTTAGGAGGCAGTTGGGAGGAGCACTGCGGGTCCGGATTCTGTCAAACTGGACACAGTCTTTCTGCAGTACTTAGTTGACACCAGAGTAGACCAAGTGTGGAAGGATTACATCACTGACTTGGGTTAGATAAAAGAAAGAACTCTATCCCTTATCATACACCCATAAACCCCATCCTGAAACCCCCCGCCATTGAAAACGTTACTCTAGAGCCCAGACCACTTTTTGATGAGTTTTGGAGGTCGTCTTAGAAAAAGAGGCAGTTATGCAGATATCTAGCATGTTGCGATACGAACTCTTATCGTGTTGAATTTTCCGACCTATAAATTGTCCGAAATTTCAAATTCATTTGACAAACTTAAATTTGCATGAAATCTAAAATTTTTGTCACAGTGTTAAGTTACTTGAGCTAGAGCTTAACACCATTAGAATATAGCCCAAAAGAATAGCCAGCTGATCAATTGTTCTCCGTGTGGGTTGTTTTCAGCATGCAGTGCCACCCTCCCGCCAAACCCTTGGCCCCGCCTGATCACGTGTTTCCGGGAGGCAGCCCTGAAGATGGAGTTGTGGTTCGAGTATGAGGAGGATGTGTTGCAGAGGGTGATAGACGTGAATGCGGGCAAAGTGGCCGACCGGGACAACTTCATCTACAATATCCCCTCAACTAAGATATTCGCCCACAGGACCATCATGCCCATTGTCAGCCCAAAACACGCACAAGTACAAAAACGATACCTTTTATATTCCCCAAATGACTCTTAATAAAAAAAATAGCTGTGGTTTCTGCGATTTTCAGAGGATATATGAAAAGCGATCCAGCCTGTCCTTTTGTTTTTCTATTTCCCAGCATTCCTGACTCAGTTATTTGGTTAAGTGAAGCTGTTGATTTGCGACTCAAGGCCGTTTTTTGCGGCTAGAAGCCGTTTTTATCTTGTCATGATTACCATAAATGCTACCTAAAATAACTTTAACTAGTTTAAATCAAACTAAAACTTGTCAATATGAACTAGTAAGCAAGTTTGAATATGTTTTCTATCATGTAAATTGACCTCTAAAAAGGAGAAGTTTTATTATCAAGTACTAATTTTTTCGCTTATACTTAACCTTCAATTTAGATAATAATGAATTGAGATAATAATGAATAAATCATGTTAATAGATGTTAATATAGATGTCAATATTGAAGGCCACCGGCAGATTTGCCATATTTTCCCCCAAATTTTATCACTGCTGCCTATTTTGACAGGTTGAGTCAAAATTTTCCAAGCCCGGGTTAAACTCTCATTGTCATTGTTTCAGAGAAAAATTATTGCTTGTCATTGCTGGTTCAAGCTCTGATGAGTTACATGTTATTCATGATTAAATCTGAAATATCAATGATGTAGCGTTCGTTGAACATCGCAGGACTGAATTAGCACTGAACCGTTCCTAAATCAGGACTATGTGTTCAGAATCAACGCTTAGCAATTTTAAAATCCATGCTTCTTTTTTCGGAATTTTCAGAATAATGCTTTTTTAATCCACCATTTACAGTTTGCTAGTCACGCACGTTTAGTTTTTTGCTATCCTCGCTTGCTGTGCTGCGAAAAGCTGATAATTTAGGTTTAAAACTAGACAACACTTAAGGATCCTTTTGATTTCTCACCTGCTATTTTTTACTCTTAAAATTTAGCTCACAATGTCCAGTTATGATAAAAATTGCCATTTGAGCTAACGGTTGTCTTTCATAAATAATCTTGTAAATAATGCTTCTAGTTAGACCAACAAATTGTTGCTTATGTATGATGGGGGATGAAAAAAAAGTTAACGTGTTCATAGTTTTTTTTGATAGACACAGTTTGAAAAATTTCGTTGACCATTTTTATGGTGAGCCATTTTGAAATTGTTGCCCTTCCGCAGCCTCAAAATGACATTTGACTCGAAACTTCAGTGATAATTATCACTATTTCAGAAAAAGTCAAATATTTGTAAGACTGATTCAGGCTCTGATTTGCAGCATGTTATCCTTGATCTCGTCTGAGTTTCGGAATCAGCTCTAAACAATTTTTTTTCTACTTTTTCGAAATTTCAGAGTAATACAAAAAAAAAAATTTCCTTTCATGTATCCCTTCCACCATCTCTGGCTCGCTACTCTAAAGTTTTTTTCTTCGCTATCGTTAGGCCCCAAAATAGTTGAACATAAATCATGCTGCTACTATAAATTGAGCCTTAGAACTAAGTTTGATGAAGACTCATTGCTGTTTTTCTCTTATTTTTTGAGGAAGTATCATAACATCACTGGGTTTTCAATGATCCGATGCTGTAAAATTATGTGAATTTTTCATGGTTTGTTTTTGAAAAATTTCAGCACCAAGGAGTCAGTGATGTTTATCGCTGCGTTGAGCATTCAGGCATATGTGGCAAAAATTTTTGAGCATCACAATTTTTGCATTCATCGCATGAGAACGCAGAAATTTTGCAAACAGGTCTAACTGTACGGCATACTCAAGAAAATGGTTGAAAGTAAAAATTAAGTATTATAAAATGAGTAATAGAAACCAAAGCTATGCAGAAACACTGTTGAAATTGAACAGCAAGTAACCAATTTAGGTCTTTTCGGTTATAAGGCCCCAAAAATTTCTAAATTTCAAAATTTCTTAAAGCAAAAAAGAAAGCCCTGAATGTTCCGATTGCCCCATAATCTATATCGAATAATTTTTGGTAAAAAAAATATTTAAAAACAAATTTTTTTTGAAAAAATCAAAGATTAAGTGTAAAAGTTTGAGACGTACAACACTAATACAACCAATTGAAAGCTAGTCTCAATTCACTTTGAAACGTTTTTGTTGTGCGGGATAATTTGCCACGCATTATTAGCTTGCATTGCGCTTTCTGCGTTATGAATAATTTCTTCAAAGCGCGCATAATTTAATCCAGAACATGGCCAGTTTGGCAATTTTCAAACCGCCAGATTTTTACAAAAAATAATCGGAGATAAAACATCTTTTTATATTTGATTTCAGGGAGTCATTTTCTTCAATGGGGTATTTTTTTTGTCAGAAACTATTATTTCGATTGCTGAAAATTGGCTGAAAAAAACACCCCAAGCATAAATATTCCATTTTCTTCGAAATTCGGAACAATAACTGGCCAATATACAGAACACAAAAGAAACGAAATTTTTCAGTCCTAAATTTCTATTGAGAGTATTTCTATTGAGAGTATTTCTATTGCGTGTAATGGGGCGGGCCAAAATTGAGCAATTTCCATCACAAAAATCGGAAATTGATTAAAAATCAAAACAACATCGCGCAAATTTCGCACAATGAGACTTCTAATCAACCCTCAAATTTCGCCTAAAGTCGGTTTCTTTTCAGCAAAATTTTGTGGTCTTAAGCTTGCATGCCCAAAACCATCATCCAAAACCGTATCTTTTTTTTTGTCATGGCTCTCAGAAAACCCGTTCTGACGGCAGCGCCACCTGTCATTTTTTTAAAGAAATTTGTAAATTCATTAGGTGAACTTTTGAAAAATTCCATTTTTTTGAAGACACATAAGCGATGTATTTTTGTCACAGCGTAGTTTAAGGAGCGACTTGAAATTTAGTTGCTCATTTGGTAAAATAGAAATTTTTGCTGTCGATTTTGTGTTTTTTTCGTCTAATGAGCTTTGGAATAAAATTGATTTTCAGTTTTGGTCTCCGCTGGTTTGTTTTTCAACGAAACAGATTTGAGCGTTTTTATCTTTTTTTATCCCCGTTTCTAAACTTTTAAAAAATATCTGTTTTGAGCTGTGTAGCGTAAAAGTCCCACCAACTTTAGCTGAATTGAAAAGAAACATCTAAACAACTTTTCTGCTCCGCAGGCAATTTTTTGAAAAAAAAACAGGCCAAAAAGGCGCTTTTAGGCACTTTTTGCAAAATTTGACCAAAAACTCGCGTTATTTTTGCGCGCGCTCTCAACTCGAATTCAGAACATATTGGCGCCAAAGGCGCCTTTAAAAATATTTTTAGGGTCAGTTAGGTAAAAATGAAAATCTCAAAATAGTACAAAGGGTGGACCCTTTGGGTCGACAGGAGGTCGAATCCCTAAGGGGGAAGAGGGCGTCCGAGTCCCTCCGTCCCCCCCTAAATCCGCAGGTGGAATTTCATATACATAATATGTACTTTTTCACTTATGCTTTTGTTTGTATAGAAAATGATAGACTACGGACAGATGTTCGACAACAAACAGTTTCCCAAGTCGATCGGCCAGTTCAAAATAGCCAGCACTCTGGCTCTGGTCGGCCACACATTCCTGTACGGCAAGGTCACTCCCTACATTGGAGTGCTGGAGCTAGACGAACATGTCATCTTCAAGGTAACGAACAGGCTGTTCCACAAAGTTGGGAGGAAGATTATTATTAAAAAAACAAATGAATCGGATCTACTTAACAATGCCCCCCCCCCGCTTTCAAGAAAGGGGGGCAATTGTTAAAAAGACTAGGTTGTCGAATTTTCGACCAATCAGATTGCAGCCAAAATTCGAATTTTAAATACAAAGCTCTAGTGCTATTTACTGCTTTTATTTATAGGGGTGGCTTTTCTTTAGTCGATATCAGGGTGGGGGGCGATTGTTAAGTAGATCCAAAGAATCATTTCGGGACAATTTGAAAGGAACTAATGTATGCTCGTCTCAATTCGTGTCAAGTTTCAAGCGAGTCTGATTTTAAATTAGTTCGGGTCCATTTCTCCAGCAGTGCATTGTATATGCCCGTTACACGACAACTCGCAACAAAAGAAAAACAACTCGCAAAAAAAGACAACTCGTATAAATTAGCAATTATACGATCTTATGATTTTGCGAGTTGTCTTGTATTGCGAGTGGTCTTTTGTTGCGAGTTGTCGCGGTACCGTCTATGCCATGCGTTCATATAGGCTCATTTTCCTCTTCCCAACCAGCTCCAATTTTTTGTTGTAACGAGTGGTTTTACGAGGTTGGTTATCGATGCCAAACATGTTTGTCATGCCTAATTAGTCTGCAAGTCAATTTTCATATTTTCATAACAATCGCACAATGATGTGATCAACAAATTTACTTGTAAAAATTTGCAGGTGGAGGGGGGGGGAAGAGCCTTCATATATTTTTGGCGCCAATTGCTATTTTTCGTCAACATAGAAAAATTACAACTAGTTGCCAATCAGTAAGTCAATAAAAATTAGAATCAAATGAACATCTCTCGCCCTTATTAGACCAAGTTAAGATCTTCCTCCCCATTTATTGTTTAGAATTAAAATTGGTTAGCACTAGTGCGTCTAAAGTGCTCAATTCCTATTGGCATTGGTTCAAAAATCTTGCTTAGAACCAATTTAACATCCTCCCCCTAAATCGCTTTCAGGGGGGACGATGTTAATTTGAACCAGAAATTGTGCAAAACTGAAATCTTGAAAACGGCTAAGATCAAATTATCATCCTCCCACCTAATTCAACCAAGGTAAGATCCTGCAACCCACACAATTGTTTTGAAATAAAATTGGTTATAGCGCTGTGTATGAAACACTCAATTCCGATAAGTTAAAAGTTTGCTTTTAAAACTAAATTAACATACCCCCTCCCCCACCACCCCCCCCCCCCCCCCCCCCCCTCATACTCATATAAAAATCATTAGGGGGAGGATGTGAATTTGGTCCAGCGGTTACCCGATTGAGATCCTAGAGGGCTGGGGCAATATGTTGCTTGCTTCCAGGGTCCTTCCGGCTGCTGGTTCGAGGCGCTACAACACTACTGTGGACTGATCTGGAACCACTTGTATGATCTGGACACTGCATACAGGACTGTCACTGGCACGTTCATGGGCTATGGCGAAAAGCGCATGAGTTTGGTCGATTCGCTCAGCAAACCGAAAGCGTTCAAAGCCGAACTGGAGTACTACCTGCGTAAAAAGGTCGGAAGACTTCTGATTGTTTTGCTTGTGATGATAAGTAGACAAAGCTATTGGTAGAACAAGCCAAGGACAAAAAAAAACAACATTTTTTAAATTGAACTGAAGGCGAAAGATTGCTCTTCTGTTAGCTATGGATAGATTCATGAATTTTGAGTGTTCAAAGATCCGATAGAGCGAATATTCGAAATAACTCGTCATCACTGGAATTAACAGAAATGAAAGAGATTAAGAAAAAAACTGCTAATAACAGAATCTCATGGTAGGATCTTGGATTTTATCGAGGGGGGGGGGGGCGGATTTTCAAAAAATTTTCGAAACTTTTGTCGACCTTTTTTTTTAAATCGACATAATTGATGAAAATTGCATCACAAATGATTCGCATTCTTGATCAAGCCTGTTTATTTGTTTCTATTTATTTGTTTCTGTTGTTTCTGTAGGAACCGGTCTATATCAAGACATACGTGGTAGAAGATTGGCGATACATTCCGGTAGTGAAGCACCTCAAACTGCACTACGTCAACGAGAATGAAACAGACAGGCACGTTGTTTTAAATTCTCACAAAACCAAATATTCTCGACTTTTAGTCACGGCTTCCCGTCCGAGGTCGTTTTTTTTATGTCAAGTCTTGTGCAATCAAATTTTCTCTATTTTCAGACTGCCTGAAAAAGATTATTTCTTGGCTGTCGTGACTAAATTTCAATAAATTCGATTTTCACTACGACTTTCGCTAGCAAGCAAAAATGCAAAAACCTGACGAAAACGAAACTATGAAAAAACAACTACCATAAATAATGAAATTGAAAAACGCCTGACGAAAGACAAGTAATTAATAGTCATATTAAAGCCCCTTTAGTCGTCATTCAAACAAATTTCCAAAACTTTGAAAAAGTTTCCTCATCGTTGAGAAAAACCGGGTGAAAATTTTGATTTTTGGTCTAATTTTGAGCGAATGAAATAAACCAGCAAGCTTATTTTGTGTTTTGACCAAAAAATTTACCACAAATACTCATAGTAATTAAGAGAATGATAAATCTTATTAAAGCCTTTTCGATCTTGATTCGAACGACAGTAAAAAGTTATCAAAAAATACCCGAGTGTTGAGAAAAACCGGTTTGAAGTTTTTGAGTTTTAGTCTAATTGCGAGCAATTCAAGCCAACAAGAAGGCTTATCATAGAGGGATAAACCTTGACACTTCATTAAAATTTTTCTTTTTAGCGACATTTTTGAAAAAAAAAAATGAAAATCAAAAAACTTAAGCGAAAAAAAAACTTTTCTTGAAGTTTTTTCTAGTCATTTTTCCCAAAAAACCCAGTGCCAGATTCACCTATTTTACTGTGACTAGTGAATATACTTAAATTTCATGTTTTCTGTAGATCCTTTCATCACACCACGCGCAAAACAAAACAATTGTAGTTTGTTCCAACCATTTGAAAATTTGAATTTTATTAGATGTTAAATTTGGGTTTTTGTGCATTTTAAAGCTCCTGGATCTTTGGCGCTTTCTCGCTGGTGCTTGCGAAGTTTCTACTTCGCTTCTGTGTTAAAAGTGCATATGTTTGTTTTTCAATGCATATTTCCGTTTTTTTCTTGCTTTTTTCTTCCAACTATTGAAAATGGGGAGGAACTTTGTGTTCGGGTGCTTTAGTTTTTTTTGTTTTCCACGCAGAAACAGGTACCACAAATAATTATCTAATATGGTCGAAAGATGAGTAATTAATGGTCATATTAAAGCCCTTTTAGTCGTCATTCAAACAAATTTTCAAAACTTTGAAAAAGTTTCCTCATCGTTGAGAAAAACCGGGTGAAAATTTTGATTTTTGGTCTAATTTTGAGCGAATGAAATAAACAAGCAAGCTTATTTTGTGTTTTGACCAAAAAATTTACCACAAATACTCATAGTAATTAAGAGAATGATAAATCCTATTAAAGTCTTTTCGATCTTGATTCGAACGACAGTAAAAAATTATCAAAAAATGCCCGAGTGTTGAGAAAAACCGGTTTGAAGTTTTTGAGTTTTAGTCTAATTGCGAGCAATTCAAGCCAACAAGAAGGCTTATCATAGAGGGATAAACCTTGACACTTCATTTAAATTTTTCTTTTTAGCGACATTTTTGAAATAAAAAATATCAAAATCAAAAAACTTATGCGAAAAAAAAAATTTCTTGAGTTTTTTCTAGTCATTTTTCTGAAAAACCCAGTACCAGATTGACCTATTTCACTGTGACTGGCGAATATACTCAAACTTGAGGTTTTCCGCAGATCCTTTCATCACACCACGCGCAAAACAAAACACTTTTAGTTTAAAAAAAAACATGAAAAAAACTTTTTATGTATTTTTTTTTAAAACTGTCTGGGCTAGTTACACACCAACCAGCTATTTTTGTTTTGTATGTTTTTAATCAATTTTTCACAGACAATTAAATGAATTTTTGGCATTTTCAATACAACATCTCAGTATAAGTAACAATTGAAGCAGCGTTTAATTTTTTGGAAAAGTAAACAGATGGTTTTAATCTGTCGCGAAAGTCTAGAAATGGCCAGTTTCATTTCCAAAAATCTGGACATTTTGCATATTAGTCGCTTCTTCTCCACCTCGATTGCAAAAGTCGCGATGGATGTTTTGCTCGCGAAAGTCAGGAAATGCCATACTTTGGTTGCAAAAGCTGGACATTGACAAAATTTGGTGGCAAAAAATGGGCATGCCGAAAAATTGCCGGTCGTGAGAATCTGGACCTAAGTCGCTGGCCTCAACAAGTGAGGTACAAAAACCTTATACATAAAACGTAAAAGGCTTTTGTAATGACCAAAAAAATGCTTGTCACATGATTCGCATCTATGGCAAATACGTATGTCAAGTTTAAAAATTGCATTGAAACTCTATGGCCAGCATTCTCCGTTTAAGGGAATTGTATGACTAGCATTTTTCCTAAGCTCCATATATATTGAATTGTATTACTCGGAGTATGGAGATCAATGCGGGCTTGCAACTTAGTCAGTTTCCTCGTGTGTAAATTCTCCTCACCCCAAACTACTTCAAATTCTCTTGATCAAACTATAGTTGTCTACGTTAGTAAGGGAATGCAAACCTTGCAAGAATCTTGCAAGTTTTTACATTCCAAACTGTATATGAGAAGAGAATAAAATCTAGTAAGCAATCTTGCAGTTTCGCATTCCGAACAGGTTTGAAGAATGCATTAACTTGTAACAAAATTGCAATAATCTTGCAAGGTTTATATACTATGTTACAGTAAAAATATTCACAAAAAAGAGCCTATGAACGCAGAAAGTTTTGTTAAATTGGGTCTTTTTAGCATTCTGGGAGCGCTCGGGCAATCAATTTGTTCGACCTCAAAATATTAAGATCGAGGACAAAATATTCGAAATTTATTTGAAAATCCGCTTTTGCCTCTCGAGAAAAACCTACATGCGCCACCTTTGTGACAAGACTTTAATTCCAAATGGGGTATTATGTTTCTTGTGTCACATTGTGCGCGTTGGTCATCAATTTTACGAGGGATATTCTACGAGGAATATTCTAGAAGCGAGGAAGTCAAGTTTGCCTCATAATTATTTTCTTGATCTCCCAATTTAAAGCTATTTTCGCAGATATTCTTTTTCGATAATATTATGCGTTTGAATGTTATGTTCAATTCAAACACAAAACATATTTTTAGATTGGTTTATTTTCTTACGTGTAGGGAGTTGTTCTTCGTGTCTGACTGGGCCAATCTGCACACGAACATGTTCTGGCTGCGAGCCAAAGCGGCCTTCCATTTCCAGCAGGCGGGACCCCCTCTCCAGCAGGACCCATGCAACAGACCAAATATCCGCAATGCAGTCAACGACATCAACAAACGCATCCAGAAGGCACATTCAACATCCAAAAATAATTTAATCCCTCCTCAATTTCTGCCCAATTAAGCGCCAATCAGAGCCCCCTCCCTATCCAACCACTCCGTCCGTTGTCGGTACCCCCCCCCCCCCCGGTCCCTACCCTGCTGAATAACAAATCTGTTGTTCCTAACTAGCGATTTTTCCGTGGGTCTATATTTCACAGCACGACTTATTTAGCAGGTTTGTCATATGTCATATTTACAGCAGGTTTGTTTTTAGGCCAAGCGGGAAGTGGACCTGCTTTCGGCCTACCGGTGGCTGTGCACCCGCTCTCTACTCCAGGGCACATTTGATCACGTGGCCAGCTGCTGGAGGATGAGTAATAGCACAGTGGGTATGTTGGAGTACTGCAATGTGCTGAACAAGAGTCTGCAGGAACTGATAATCTACGCCATTGAGTCCCCCTACGAAGAGGAGAAGAGTCCTCTCAAAAGTGTCAGTTTAGGTCAGTCTGTGTAGGGGGGGGGGGAGGGGAGGGTTGGAATGGAGGAGCACTGTGAGTCATTCATTGGATGCCAGTTTTTGGCGACTAGTAATTTAAAAATTTTTTCATTCTTCACAGAAGAAGTTAGTTTAATAACGCACAATTAACTTTCAGTTGTTTCTCGCTTATTTGTTGTTTTGATTTTTTTTGGGAGGGTGGGGGAGGGGGAGGAGGGGCTAACTGAAGGTGAACGTAGGGCTAGGACCAAAATGGACAAATAAAATCCTTAAAAACGGTTCTGATACAATGATTAAATTTGACGCTTTTTCATAGGAAAATACTCAGGTGCAGATTCTTTTGCAAAAAAATTGGTGTCATATGCAAATGAAGAAGAAACAACCAACTGTTTTTGAACTTCAATTTTAAGGGATGATGGGAAATGCATATCGCTACAAAATCAACAAATCGCTGGAGAGAGTCGGAGCTCTGGCCCCTTCCAATCTGGACGAACTGACTCAGGAGAAACTGCGAGAGTGCATGGAGTGGGACGAAATATCCAAAAATGTCTTCCTCAAAATCGAGGACCGCTCGCTGGAAATCCTTCGCGAAGTGTTCGACCTAACCCAGGGTGTTATTGTAGCAGTAGCTTATGATATAAACTCAATCTGTGAGAAGTCGGGAAAAGCGTTGAAAAGTGTTAAATTGAGAAAGAACCCGCATGTTGTGATGGACGAAATCACAATGGAGATGAGAGGGGGAGGGAGTGGCAAGAAAAAAGTGGATCTCTGGAATAGTCAGCAGATGAATGCTACAGTTATGAACACAGGGGGGCAAAAAGCGGAGACTGTTAGCAGTGCAGGGGGAGATTCAACCTCGAAACGGAGCAATAGACCTAAATATGCAACACACCCATACATACAGCCCAAAGACCCTTTCCCAACGTTATGAAACTCTTCAATGATTTCAAGGATTGAACTAAATTGAATTGGATTTAAATATTTGATTTCTCCTTCGTTTTTCAGTCGCGTAACATGATGTACCTCAAAACGCTTTAAACTTCTAGAGCAATTTATGATTGATAAATTTTTGACAAATTAACACAATTTGACAGAACTCGATAGGTAAATTTTATATTTTGCTGGGAAATCTGAAATATGACTACCATTTAAGAAACTGGAAGTCCTTCACGTTTTTCGTTATTCTCACATTTTACACTTTTGCTGGTCGATAGTGGAGTTTATCTTCCTTTAACAAAGAAAACGAACTGAAATTAAAAAGAACTTTTAGCAATTTTTTTTCTAACAAAAAACAATGGCGCGTATAAAACCAGGAAACCATGAATTATATATATTTACCCTTGAAAAAACTACAGAAATAAACCACCCGGCAATTAAGCTGACAAAAATTGGGACGAAATCAATAAAGTCGCCCATAAATCAATTTATATCAAACGTTTTTCAGCTGCATAACCAGTATTACTTCGTTAGCTCTAGACCAGCTGTTGAATTACAGCCGCTAAACATGCAACTTCAACTAAAAATTGAGATCTTAAAATTTGGAGATCTTGTAAACAAAGTTGTTTACAAGCAAAAAGGCTTGTACTCGATTGTAATATCCTTGATTATCACAAGGGTAATACATCAAGAATAACACGGAAAATGTAAGACGACTATCTTTTAAATGGTAGAAAAATCTTTCTTTGCTTCAAAAAGTGATCGAAACAAAACAGTTTAAAAAATCAAAACTTAACAGACAAAATGAACGAAATCAGGAAAACCGAAAGAAGCAGACTGTAAATTATGGTTTATTTATGGTATATCACATACAAACTCTTCAAACTTCAAGGCAATTATGATGGGTCTTTTTCATTTAGAGTTTTCCCATTTGGAGAAAATTGCATCAATTGAACATAGCTAATTGTAAGAGACAATAAATGAAAAGAAACAGAAAAAATGAACTAGTTTTTCATGGAAAAACTTAACTTTCAAAGAAACAACTATATGGCCTTTAAGTCATTAAATTTCAAGAACAAACTATTTTTGACACGGTTATGATACAACTAAGTCAGTTTGAGAAAACAGGACTTAAGTTTTTATTTCTCTGGTAAAACATGTTAATTGAAATCTTTTTTTTTTCTAGAATAGAAGTCGATCTCGTTATTCTCTATTTTTCAACTGATACTGTTCGATAGTGAAGAAACCAAAGTCAACCCAATAAAAAAAAACAAATTTTCCTTCGAAAAAACTATCACAATCTATATAGCCTTCACTATGTTCACCGACTTCTAATATTTTTTGTCATTCTTTTTGGAAAAAATGAAAACCACCAGATTTGAAATTACAAGCCAATCACGTTTTTTTTCTTACCTTCCAATTTTTGCTGTTCGATAGTGTGGAATGCTTTTTTAAGGCAAAATAAATGAAACTTAAAATAAATCAATTGACATGGTGAAAAAACAAAGCGAGCGTGAAAAAAATGTGAATACTTTTTCCTCAAAAAAAAACAAAAAAAATCAATACGACCTACGCAAGTTGACAATCAGTTCGTTCTTTTACACTTAAAAATTAGATTTTTCTACGGCAAAAATAAGCCAAAAGCACCCAACTGGGCTCGAGCCTTAACGTTTTATCTTTATAAACCAGGAAATTAGCTGTGGGATGTTAACAGAATCAGACGCTTGAAATTACATTGGCCATAACTAATTCTATGAAAGCAAGCTGTTTTTTTTCACTCGCTGGCGTACATGTGTGCAGTCTTTTTTTTCTGGAAAGTGCAATTCTACAGGCAAACACAAGCCTTCGGCCCTGTTAATAGCGGCAACCAACTCAATACTTAGACCAATAAGCTTGCATCAATTTGATGTCGAAGAAATTACTTCCATTGAATGTGAAGCTATTTAGGAGAATACTATCTTTACAGAGGTGAAGCTGCGCCTTGCAAATACTTGCGGGCAGACGACTACAAAGCAGCTTAATAAATAGAATTAAGAAAATATAGAAATAAGCCTCGAATTAATTAAACATTGCTACCTATGGGGATCGAACCTACAAACTCGAGCATTCTAGTCTCACGAACTGCCCTCTCGACCGCTTTGTTTGTTATGTTGTTTGAAACAAATCACTTTTTTCGGTTCAATTGATGAATTTATAAGGCAGCAACTGTGTTAACTTATTACTATTTGAAAGTCAAAGCACAGGCTATCAAAAAGCCGTAAAAGAGCCCCAAAATTGGCACCACAATTTGTGACTTAGGTTTAAAAAAAATAGTAGTATAAAACTAACGCTCACTTCAGTCCGCTAGTGTGATTAGAACTCAATGTAATGCTATCATGAACATGGACTACAATGACTTCACTTTTTCGAGATTCGGAGCAACAATTTAACATTTTTAATTATTTGAGCTATCTAATTTATAAACAGGTTTAAACAATTATGAGGAGCATTAACTTTTATTTCGCTTCACAGAGTTTTAGCGATATGTTTATTCAAAAGATCGTGAGTTTTCATTACAATTCCAGACTCCGACTGCTACAAACGTGACTGCCAATCGATCCAATGCATTTTTCCATTCAGTTCCAACCGATCGTTTTCTTGAGTGGTGTGAGGAAGTCTGTAGTTTTGAGACAGGTGCCACACGCACTCAGCAGACGGTGCAGCCCCATGTCTCTCCGCCTCCTCAAATTTCGCCAAACCCTCCTCTTCATCACATCAAAGAACTCCTGATGAGTAAGCATGCCGTCGCCTATTCACACACACAAAACATAGCCAAAAAATACTTATTAAAACAGTTGATAAATTCAAACAAACCGCAAAAATAAAATAATTGAATCATTTCGAACAATTTTCTTATAATTTTGGAAAACAAATTTTGGCAAATAAATTCTTCACTATTTTAAGATATCCATTTTTGGCTGACTGACCTTAAAATTTTTTTAAAGGAGCCAATCTATACTCATTTTGAGGGGGGAGCGCGCGCCGAAAAAACGCGATTTTTTGCTCGAAATTTTCCAAAAAGTGCCTAAAACGCCTTTTTTCAAATTTTTTTTTGAAAATCCGCCTCCTCCCTCGAGAAATTCCTAGATTCGCGCCTGCTCTGAGCTTGAGTTTTTTCTCAAAAATGTACTCGTAATCCTGATTGTGGAGCTCATAGCATATCAACTAACAGAACATATGTAACAAATTTCCCCAAAAATTAAGCATGCATTCAGTAACTTCCTTACTTTCGAATGTCATGAAAGTGCTCTTAATCAAGGCTTTCACATCGTAATTCTGTAAAAACATATGGCAATCATTACTCCTCGACTTTCCGTAGGTAAAATAGGTAGTAGATCTCGAATATATAGGCTCACCGTTGTCGTCGAACAGCTGGAAGAGGACTTCGACTAGGTGTTCGTTCAGCTCTCTTTTGCCTACTATGCGAGTAACATGTTTGAACGTGTCCTTGTCGATCGGAGCCCCACTGAGTGTCCAGAAAGTGATTGCATGTTCGACCTCATTCAGTCGGGTCAACACGTCCCAAAAAGCGTACACGTCTTCTAGCGGGATGCGCTGCAACACAAACAACATAATTGCAAAAAAAAATCCAAGTACTCGCGGAGTTTCAAAGAAAAATTATGTTGCCTTTCAAAAACGTTTTTAATGATTGATGTTTTTTTTTAAAAAAAACATATTTTGAGAAAATTAGGTTAATACGTATTTTTTTCATTCCGCTGGAAAAACCTGCAAAATATAGTTCACTTTTAAAATAAAAAATCAGTCAAGTTTTTTTTATGTCATTGAAGAGCGTTATTCTGTGGTTTTAGCTAAGGGTCTAGGACAACAAGCCGACGGGACTTCAAGCCGAAGGGACTTCAAGCCGAAAATTAAACTTTACAAGCACCTCAAATCATTATTTTTTCTTCTGTAAAACGTTGCTTGTCAAAAGCTATTTTACTCCATAATAAGCGTCCACAAAGAATCACTTGGGATTGGCATCCGTTAATAATATGAGCCGGTTTTTGAAATGCATAAATTAAAAACAAGAAAATTACCTTCAACCGTGTTTTATTTTTCAACTTTCCTAAACATCATTTGGAGGCTTTAATTTTATGAAAACGCTAATAATTACCGAATAAAGATAATGAAATTGCGAAATTCTTCAAAAAATTTTTTCAAATTAATCATATTTCATGACTTAGTGACAAAATTTTCGGCTTCAAGTCCCTAATTTTACGATTCGGCTTGAAGTCCCGTCGGCTTGATGTCCGGCAACCTTTAGCTAACTTCGTTTCGAAGTATGGTCCCGCCATTTTTGATAAGTTAAAAAACTAGTGTAAAAAGTGGTCGCGCTAAAACAATTGAAATAAATAGAAGCACCTCAAGTGAATGTTAAAAGAAAACATGTAATCATTGAATTACCATTGATGTTTTTTACGAAAAAGCAATTCACACAGAGGCGAAGTTGAGCTTCTCATCACTTGCGATACAATACCTTGTCAGAAATACTTTAAGCCGAAAACAATCAACTGAACTTCAGACTTCTGAGAAGTTAATAAGTCCATCTCACCCTCAACACACACAAACACTCATAAAACTTTCTTTGGTCTTCAAATTAAACCATATGAGGCCACTAAGCCGATATAAAATGGGCCGAAACCTATCAAGACCAAATAAGAAAAATAAAAAAGTCAAACATTTAAGACTAAAAAGAAGTCATTAAGTTCACCTCAACATCAAAAAACAGATGCACATACACAAAACTTTTTTTCGCTCGTCGAAAGACAAAATATGAGGCCAATAAGCCGATATCTATCAAGTCGAAAAAATGAAAAGAAAACGAAAAACTGGAAAACGAAAAGTTCGGAATTCTATCAAGATTTTTAGCATTTTGTGCGATCCAGAGCTCAGCGCTTAAAATATGTTTCCGCTGAATCGACTCGATATTAGGCTACTAAACCAATAAAATTTAGGCCAAAATCATTTGGGCAGGAAAGGTTTTTAATAAAAAAAATACATAAGTCAAGTTTAGTAAAATTACAAACAGCAGAGGTAAATCAGAACACTAAAAGCAACTATACGGTAAAAAACTTCAAATTTTTTTTTTACAAAATGGCAGCCAAGCCGACAAAACAAAAGCAGGCAACATTAAGCCGACAATTTTTTGAAACTGACTTTTTCCCGTTTGAAACCAAAAACAGGTATAGTCAGATTCAAACCCAGGACCTTTGGCGTCACAGGCGTGTTCGTTTCCTCCTCCAGACTAAGTGTGTCGGAGACGCTCAGATATTTGAAGTCATTATAAGCCAAAATACCAATTGACTCAAGTAATTTTGCTAAGCAAGTTGTTAACCTGAAAAAAGTCTGAACTCCCATTTGATAACGCTTCCTAATTTCAGGAAACACCAAAAAATCATACTATGTTCTCGCTAGAATTCATAGCGAGAAAAAAACCAAGTTTGTAACTATGGGTTTTTCTGGTGAACGAAGAACAGTGTGCGAAAAAAGTAAAAGATCGAAACAAAGAAGTTCAAAAGTTGTTCAGGCGCTGTTTTAAAATTGATTTATTAATGTATTCATTTTGCGTATTTTATGACATTGAATTCTGCTTTTAAATACCGAAATTTATGTCAGTTCGATATTCTTTGTTGACTTCTAATTTCTGATAATTACGGTTTAAATTACGTATGAAGTGAAATGTTGTAAATCAGTCAGCTACCCGAAACCGATCTAACTCAGAACCGAAACGAGGCAGAAATCTACTATAATACAACCATATAATAAAATCAAAAACGACGTTATTGGAATTTTGCTATAGCAGAAATTTCACTATATCAAGGAAATGATAGCCCAATGATACTAAGGTGAAACTACTTCTCCTGATCGTATTCGAACCCCTGACATTCGTCTTTATAGGCAGATGCGTTATCTCTTCATGCGCGAATTAACGACTGACTTCTGATAGCATATGAGCCAAAGGAAAATTGATTCAAGTGATTCTGTGAAACAAGTTGTTAACCCGAAAAAAGTCTATAGTCCTGTGATAACGCTTGCTAATCGCGTACCAATAACAAATATATACCTTCCAAAAAATATGGATATCTCAAGCAGTCCAACTACCAAAACCAGTTGAGCAGAAATTCATTTACCAAACATGTCTTGCAAATGCTTTGAGATTGATTTAAGACAGTTGCCTAGACTGAAAGGCGTTTTCAAGTATGCCAATTCGTAAATTTATCGGAATATCGAATAAAACAGCCAACAAACAAATAGAAAAGTGTCAGTGAAACCAGGGGAAACCGAAATTAGTATCTTTGTAAAAATGTTCGAATTTCAGTTAAAACAATATATCACTTTCAAGCTCTTTGAATTTTGTCAATCTTTTATTCAGCCATTTGTTGTATAAAACGCACCAATTTCAGAAAACTGATTCAAAGTAATGAATTCTAATAATTCTAAAAACTAAGAGCCTTTTCTGAAACTAGAAGTCATTCTCGTTTTTTTTTCGCGCAATTTGAAGTTGAAACATAAGTTACCGAAATTTCGCAAATTTTTTGGAGCACCACCTGCCTTTCCCCTCAGAAACTCCTACGCAAGCCATTGCATCGCTAACAGTACCAAATGTTAACATTTTTGCCACTTGAAAATCCGGTTGAGGTTTGCAACTTCGATTATCAAATTATACCAATCGTCTGAAAAAATAGTACCTCTGTCACAACTGGGTTGTCTTGTTGGTCTTGGCTGTTTTTTCTGCCGTAGAGTTTGTTGATTCTGTTCAGCATTTCCTTCTTCCTGCCTTGACTCTGCTGCAGGTACATGAGGAGAAGTTTGCTGAATTGCTTCTCGCTCATACTGTCGCCTTCTTTGCACTGCTTCTTGCACTGTCAACAAACACCATTGGTGTCGTTTCCCTTTATAAACCACCTCACAACCATACATCCAAAATACAGCAGAGGGGAGTGATTTTTACTTTTAGAGCATATAGCCTGCTGGTACTACAACAGCAAATCAGTTGAGCTCAAACTTAAGAAACAAAAGACTGTAGAAAAATCAAAGGACAAGAACCAAAAATCGCTCAACTTTTTTTGGAGAAAATATTAAAACAATCGAAAAAGAATTTGGGATCGTGTTAACTCAACGCAAATAATTTTCCTTAAAAACAAGCCCATTTAAATTCATGATAATTTGATTGAATTATTGAAAAAACCTGAGCATCAAACCCGACATATTTAGCCAGAAAACTGTTGACCAAGAAATCGACAGCACCAATCATGTTTAGTGTGCTAGCTTCTAAATTTGGGAGAATGAGCGACTGAAGATTCATAATTACAAAAGATTTGTAATTTGTTCCGAGTTATTTTATAGAAGTCAAAAGAATTTTTGGAAACCGTGTTTTTAGTCACTGCTCTTTGTAGTTTGGCATCAACATTAAGCGCTTGATTTAGTTTCAGTTCTAAAACGCCTTTTCAGCCTCAACATTCCGCCCCTCTTGTTTTGAAGCATGTTGAATTTTCGGAGTGCAAAATGTCTGCGTACAACTACGATTTCAGTCAAAGACATGGTGAATCGTCTTGGGGCGAAGTGCCGGATGCAATCACGCCTTCGTTGAAGGATGCTTCATTCAGTGAGGATGCTTCTATGATCGTGTGGTTCTCTCCTGCTGAGAAAGTGAGAAGCAAAGTTTCCCCTTTTAGTCTTGATGATTTTTTCATTAGCCCTCGGCCTGCTCAGTGCAGGACCAACCATGGGGGAGAGAGATGTCATCCATTTTGCCGCAGCCGGTCCCACCTTGAGGAGGCGGATGACACTGGGACTTTTAATCTTGATCTGAAGGCTAAGTAGTTAACAATATACGATGTTTTAGTCGAGCTGGAGAATCTTCCAAGTATCGATATCATGGCAGCAATAGGTCATCGTTTGCTAAAGCAGAGCTTGATGAAAAGAGACCCCTAGTAAGACGAAGAATGTTGTTCGCGTCGCAAACGCTCATCATCACAGTATGCCAGGAAGCGTTGTCTCCTCTTCGAGGTATTTTAATAGAGAATTTGATTAATTTCACAGAGAATTTGATTAATTTATGAGCAAAATTAGGACATGTTGTAATCGGTTCTAGACCATTTCATTGTTGTAAAGTAGTAAAGCAAGTTTAAACTTGAGCAAGGTTGCTGGCTTAACTTAGCAAAATGACCATCTCACCGCTATTAGTACAGAAAACAATCGAAGAATCTAGCAAGAGTAAGGCCCTGATCAAATTGCCTCCATTCGCTTAAACTATCTCGGCCCAAATGGCCTTAAAATTCTGCCACAAACCAAAACCATTTCTATCAACACTGCCATAATACCAATTTGAAAAATATTAAGCATACTTCTTTTCCCCAAACCAGGTAAGGATCTAAGAAATCGAAAAGCTTCCGCCCAATTCCACTACTGTCGCCAACCACCGAACTTGTGGAAAGGATTCTCTTACCTGAGCTAAACCTAAACATACAACTAGCAGATCACCAGCACGGTTTTAGGAAAGCCCGCTCTATCGTGACTGCACTTAATTGTACCAATTATCACATAACCGACCGACTAAATTATGCAAAACCATGCCGAAGTACCCTTATGGTTGCACTTGATCTCGGTTGAATTTGGAGACGCGAATCTGGCATTAGAAAAGTTAAGCAAGTTGTACAAGGTGGTGTTGTCTCGGCCACACTCTTTTCTCTATATATGCAGTCCACTCACTCAATTAAAAGAATGGCTAAAGATAGGCACTTGAACCTTTCCCTTAAAGACAAATCCATGGCAACTCTTTTACTTCTTGGTTTGCCAACACTAGCCATCGGCTATAAGCAATCAGCCGTAGCGTAATGAACTACGCCGCAACTATACGGTCTCCAAGTTTAAGCAACACCAACTGGTCAAAACTTCAAGTCAAACAAAACAATGCACTTAGAATTATAAGCGGCTGTTAGACGAAAAATGATCATTTATACGATGAAACCAAAATTCTCCCTGTTCGAGAGCATAATGAAATGCTTGCCAAAGTGTCCTTCCTCTGATGACATCTTCCCGAGCGTGCAGAACATAGAAAGTTAGAATTAAACAGCAGCAACACTCAAAAAGCGCAAGAAGTTGCCGTACACCTGCCAACTGATTCAGTTTTTACAATTTGCCAATATAAAATTGGTCTCAAGCATCTGCATACTAAAACTGTGAGACTTAACTGAGATTCATCACAGGAACCTTTTGGGTATCACCAATCCTGGAGTGAACTTCGAAGAAGAAAAGAAACTCCACGTAAGGCTAGTTGCACACTTGCACAGCTCCGCTCCAGATACTTACCCATCCTGAATAGCTACTAAAGCAAACTACCAGAGCAGGATTGACCCAAAAATGCCTAATATATGCACTGTTTGCAACCTAGAGCCCTATGACACGCAACACGTATTCAACTGTCCAGTCAGATCGACAGATCTAAATATCCACAGTCTATGGGCTGACCCCTTCATTTAGCTGACCAACTTCAGCACACACAGCACGAAAGAGCGGTAAAGCTTAACCAATTAGCTTGACGGAGGATGCTGACATTACAACCAAACAACAAAACGCGAGATCAATTCCGGCGCGGCCAGAGTTTAAATGACATTCAAGTAACACACGCTAGTGACATGCCCTACCTATACCGTCGGGGGCCAATACACACTGGAATAGGGACGAGACGAAACCACTATTAGCCGAAACAAACGGAAACCCATGTCGTCAAGAGTCAACTAGGCTACAACAACAACAACAAAGTTCAAGCTGCAAGTTCAAGCTGCAAGTCAAGAGCCCGAAAAAACACCACAGAAAAACTCACTGGAGAACTGACGCCATCAGCTGACACCATCTATCTAACACCAGACACGCTAAGAATGTTGAATTTGTTATGAACCAAGGTACCACCAGGAGATGAGTCCAGATGATTCCTGTTTACGGGAAAAAAAAGAGTCTAGTATCCAGTTGGAAAACCCTTGCTGATCGCAAGGGTAAAAAAATCAAACTGATTCCGCGAAAAATCAAATTTGGGCCTGAACAACAGACTTTTTCTTGAAAAAGAATTAAAAAAACACGACCTAAAAAGTGTTCTCACTTCATTTATCGACTGCCACTTAATCAAGTGAGTAATGAAAAAAATGTTATTTTCGCCAGTCAGGTACCATGACAGATGGCAGCTGTTTGCGTCTCACTCACCTCAAGCTCTAGCACTCCTCGGTGCAATTCCTGCTGAAATTTGAGGAAATCCCCGATGGATAACTTCTGGTCTAGGTTGGGTCCGAAGAAGTAGGTGGCCAGTGCCGAAGACACTCCTCCGCTACCCTTCTTGATGACGTTGCCTGTAGTCTTGTGGTCGCGGTGTCTCTTGCCAACACTGCCACTTGCACGGATCACACTTGCTACCTGTATACACAAAGGTAAGAGACCGTTTAAGCTTCACGTATGTATTGAATTTCACGGCTCAAAAGAACAGTTTGACTTACTGAAAAAACTAATAAATATGCCACAATTTTCAAAAAATTAACTCGTCGAAGAAGATCAACGACTCATTTTAGACAAAACAAACATTTGTACAGAGGCGAACCGGAGCTTCGCACCACTTGCGATACCAAAGATAAAAATGGATACTTTCAGCTTAAACAACCCAGGTCATGGCCGGATTTGTTAAATTAGTTGTTAACCGAAAAAAGTCTATATTCTGATTTGAAAAGGCTTGCTAATCGCATTTTTTAAAATTCACAAGCACGCCCATCTCTATTAATCAGTCGGCTCGCAAACAAATAATTGTTCTGAGCAATTTGTTCAAGCAATGAAAAATTCAAATACTTAAACATTTTTGCAGCAAACTATTCATTCAATCGATATAATTATGTAAAACTTCAAAGTATTTCAGCTGAAGCTGATTCGCCAAACTTTTGAGCAAGCCAATCTAGCTATAGAATTTGAAAATTGTCGCATACTTAAATGCTTCAGACCATTCAAACTAAGACACCCTTGAACTTTTCCATGCTATTTTATTTATTAAATCATTATGCAAAAAAATAATTTTTCTAAGAAAACAGTCAGAGGATAAAACTTTGAAAATTTTCCAGTTATTTCAACGCATGAATCGCTTCGCATCAATGCGTGAATCGCTTCGTAACATAGCCAACAGACAGTTGGAACAGAGTAATGAACGCAAGTAAACAGACAAAAAAACTGACTTTGTTGAACAAAATCGAATTCGAATTTCAAAGAAAAAAGGCTTTAAGCTCTTTGAATTTCCAGAAAACTTTATGATTGGCAAATTTTTGAAAATCTTGACCAACTTGATAAAACTGGATCAATAGGTAAAATGTTTATTCGGCTCGAAACCTTGAAAGAAAACTGTACTTTCGAACTCTCGAAACTTGAAATCGTTCACGTTTTTCCGCGCCATTCCCACGTTTGTAATTGGAGACTGCTATTTCCGTCACTTTCAGCAGATGAATTTCAAATGAAATACAAAAGCGCATTATACCTATGTGCATCAAAATCGATCCGCACTTTTCAAGTAAGCCATTGAGCAAAAAAAAACATGAAAATTTTCAAATAACTGCAGAGCCAATCGGTGCAGACAAAAAATGTAGCCAAGCAAGCGTTGAAACTTTGAAAAATTATATCATTAATCGATTCGCAAAAGTTGAAGATCACCAAAGCCAGCTATTCAAGCGATGCTTTCCAAAGTTTTCAATAATATTTTTGAATGAGACGATTCAGAAAAAAAATCTAATTGTTTCGAAAAAAGTTACACATAAAAGTTATACCAAAAAGTTATTTCTTAGAAGGATTCCTTTCGAAAAAAAAAAGTTTTTTACGCAAAGTGTCTGCTTTTAGTTGATTCATTCAAGCTGCTTAAACGAATCTCTGCAGGCAAAAACTTGGAAAAAATGTTGACAGGTACTCTCTAGCCTTGAAAATGAATTGAGTTCATCTTTTTCTAAAGCATTGACTTAGTTCAGAAAAGAATTCTAGAATAAACCCAGACTTGAGTCAATTTGGATGACCTAGAATATTCTTGGCCTACTCTTAAACGTTGAGCTTATAGCAACTTATTAAACGAGGTGTTTGACAAAAAGAAAAACATTGTGTTCAGTTAAACATTGCGTCCATAGCGCATTCTGATTTTCATTAAATATACAAGACAAGATAAAGAATCAAATACAAGACGGGCAAAATAATAAATTGCAGGAGGAATAGCAGTTATCTTTATTTTTCAGTTTTCTCTTTCAAACTTATGCGAAAGAGCCGATCAGAATACAACAAAACCTAATCTCAGTACAACGAGAAGAATCATCCTTGAAATAAGCAAAAAAACTAACTCATTATTTCCATTGTCTGATATTTTTGTTATACTACCCTAATATTGTGAACCGCAAGTTTGTGATTTCAATTTTAAGTTTGACGTCACTTAAGATAGAGTTAACTTAAGGGGGGGGGGGGTAGTTAACAAGGTACAAAATTCGTATATGCTTAGCTGTTCAGTTATTTATTTTTAGGGGGGGGAGATTCTTTACAAGGTAACATAGGGGGGATAGTTAACAAGATCCGGTAAACTTATTATTCCGCTGGAAATTTAAAACATAAATTCCACTTTCGAAACTAGAAATCGTTCATGTTTTTTTTTGCGCCATTTGCACGTTCGTATTTGGAGAGTGCTATTTACATCACTTTCAGCAGATGAATTTCAATTGAACTCAAAAAGTGCATTATAACTAAGTGTATGCATATTTTAAGACTTTTTCATGAAAAAAAAACTACGTTCATTACTCTTAATAAAAGCAGAAAATCAGCACAAGAGCTTATCATTTATAATTCGAATTCTGCTGCATTCTGATTGGTCAAAACTCGACTAAATTTATCTACTTAACAATTCCCCCCTTTTCTTGAAGGGGGATATGTTAAGTGGCTCCGAGGTTGACTTCAGAAAGGTATCTTTAGGTTCGTTTTCGGGGTTTATGAAACTTTTTAAAATTTAGTCCGGGAGGAATATATCCGGTGGGACTTCATCTCCGTCCAGGAGCAATCAGATCCAAAACTTTTCCCTCATGATTGAGACTGCAATCGACAACAAATTCAATGCCAGAATATTTGGCTTCTTATCTGAAAAAAGCCTTGTTTTGGAGACACACTTTATAGGACATATTATTAATTTATACATTACGAGGCCAAACTGTGCACTGTAAAATATTGTACCGCTCAAAATCGCTCCAAAAATAGGCAAATTTGCGGAATCCGCAACTGTATTTGCGGAATCCACAAACAAATAATAAGACATGTGTATAGTTACATTGAGCTGTTGCGGAATCCGCAAATTGTAGGTGGAATCTGCAAATTGTAAGTGGAATCCGCAAATTGTAAGTGGAATCCGCAGTTTGTTTGCGGATTCCACTTATATTTCCGGATTCCACTTACATTTTGCGGATTCCACTTACATTTTGCGGAATCCAGAACAACTAGCTATATTTGCTTGTTGCGGAACCCGCAACAAAACAAATGTGCCACCAAAATTTACGTTACAGCTATTTGTACGCGGAATCCACGAAACTTTTGTAAGTGGAATCCACTTACTTTTTGGAACATGTTTAAAGATTTGTCTCTGCAATCCAGGAACAGAAAAACAAAATTGTGCGCCTATCCAGTGCACAGTTTGGCCTCGTAATGTATTTTTCAAAAAAAAACAATTAATTCATAGCTTGGTACAAGTATGATAGTTGGGTCCCTAAAATTAAGATAGATCCCATTAGAAAATTTTAGGCCTCAAAGTCTTCGAAAACATGGTTCGCATTTCTTTTAAAGTTATCACAATAATTTCGGGACCCATCTTTCATACTTGCTTTTTCTTGGGACCCAACTATCATATTTGTACGCATAACTGTCTCAAAAACTGACCTGTTCGAACTCGTGATGCTCTACCACTCCGTCTCCGTTGATATCGAACACTTTGAACGCAAACTCAAAATTCTTGGCTGGCGCTGAAACAAAGTTCTAGAGTAAGCCAGTAATCGTATCAATACGGTTTATTCCATTTATATTTTGCTGAAAGTGGCAAAGAATGAATTTATCACAATTTTTTGACGAGCATTGCTGATGAGCTTAACGAGGACACCGATCCTTTAACGACAAAACAGATTATGTAAACTATTCCCTCCCAACAACCTCCGCCCCTCTTTCCATCCCGTCCATAGCACAACAGGGAAATTCTTACTCAGAAGAACATTCGCTTAAGGCTTCACTGTTGAATAGTCTTTTGTAGAGATTGAGATTTGTCACTAGGTATCACAGGAGGAATATTATTACTGAGATACAACAATTGTCAATTTATATCTCTTAGATTCAGCAAATCAAACCACGGCTGCAGTTCGAAAGGATGGATTTTTTTGTCGAAGTATTTCAAATTTTGTTGTGCTTATTTGTGTTACTGTCTTTATTTGTGTTATATTGTATTGTTGGCTTGTGTTAGTGTGTTGGGATTGCTTCAACTATCCCCCCTCGGGTACCTAGTAACGAATATCTCTACTATAAGAAATAGATCAATGGTTAAGCATATGAGAAGTTTAAACCTAGATCTCTCCCCTTTTGCAAAAGGGGAATATAGTTAAAGAGATCCGTGTTTTGACTGACTAGTACTAACTGGACAGGACAGTGAGAAGGAAAACGTAGTCTGAGAAGGAGATGAGTCCCTGCTGGCCCAGTTTGTGGAAGAAGGAGTCCTCCCCGATCTCCAACTCATCCACACAACTGTCAGTCTAAACACAACATCAGCAATAGTAAAATACTCAGTCTCTAACACTGCACACTAAGACCACAAAGCTCCAAAAAGCAGGAAAATCATTGAACTCATATTTTTAATTATTAGACAAAACTATCTATATTACCATAACATTGATTATACCACGCCTGGCGAAAATAGGCGTAGCGGAGCAAGGGCTTGCTATTTACCAATGCGGCGCTTTTAAAACTAGTTTCCAAACGTAGCAAACTGTCGCTTTCGAGTTGAATATTTCGCATACGAAATGGCTTTAGTGAGCTGTTTCCGTACCATACATAGTGGCCGAAATATTAACCAGCTCCATAAAAACCGACCAAAAGTAACCACCCGGGTCGAGGTCCCAGACTCATGTCCAGACTTTGCGGGTCGCGCCGCATCCGGATTTAGACCCGAAGTGCATAGTCGCGCCGAGAGTACATAGAAACCACCCGTATTTCTCCACCAATGACGTTATTTTTGACTGGTTTATCCAACTTTGTTAGTAACACATTACCTTGGAACGTTTTTAGACTATCTGTAGTTGCCAAAGGCCCCGATAGCCGAATGTAAATTCCAAAGAACAATTTTCAAAAGCTTAAATGCTGCTTGAAAATGTCAATTAGGAAATGATAACAAAATTAGCCGTTGGATGAAAATATTCATCTAAAACAATCCATCGTCCTAATATATTAATTTATCCAAACTTTCGCAACTGCTTCAAGATTACAGAACAGTTTAACAATCTGCACCAATTGCATCCCTCACAAAGTTTACAGCCAAAAAGTAAAGCAAAATATGTGAAGGAAGAAATGTAAATCGTTTAGCATACGTTAAATTTAAACAGCAGACAGCGAGCGAGTTAACTTTCAGAAAACCCAGTGTACACATGAAGCTTCGTGTTTTAATTGCGACCCAATTGCTAAGCCAAAAGATAATATGTTTTTTTTTGCTTTTCAAAATAGTGGTTTTCTGTGCCTGACGTGATCAGAGAAACTAGACTAACGCTTATAACATTACCAGATCAAATTAAAAATTAGATTGATAACAGGTATTGATAACATTACCTGTTATCAATAACAAGCAAAAGCAATCATTTAGGCCAAATTAAATTCAAGAAAAGCAAAAAGCAGTTTAACATTCGCAAATGATCTTAAGCTTTAATACAATCACTATCACGTCTAAAAAGCGATAATTAAGAAACCGTCTTAGTTTCGTTCTACTCAGAAGCAGAAAAATTCGGATTTGTTTTGCCAACTGTTTGATCAAATTGCTGCTGCTTTGCAGCATGCTATTCATAGTTTCATCTTTAACAGACATTAAATTATTATTTCAAATTATACGATCATTTTTATTGTAGGGCCAGCGGATGATTGCGATTGTTCGAAGATTTAGTTAGTCATTTGGGTTATAAAAGCAGGAGCCGTGCAATTTTAAACAAGTTGTAAAATTTAGGAGATAGCAGGTATCAATCAGTCAATCTTACCGTATGCCAAACCATATAATCAGTCTTCTTAAAAACACAAACATCTCTCTTACTACCAGTATTCAGAGCACAAAAAATGACCAAATTTTCAGCACAGAGGCGAAGCTGCGCTTCGATAACACTAGCTTTTTGAAAAAAAAAAGCAGCTCTAAAAATTAAAATAAAAGAAAAGGTAAAATAAGCAATAATAACTTTTGCTGTGGCGGATTCGATCCTACGACCAGGAGATTTATAGTCCCATGTCTTCGCATCTACGCTACAAGACTTTGACAATTTGTAAAAACTAGCCACAAAGAAAGCAGCTACATATGCCAATAAATTGCCAATGCGATGCATAAAGTAATTTGGGGAGGCGGAGAAATAAGCAGAATGGTCTAAGAGCAGAATGGGTCCAAGAGCAGAAAAACAGATTTTGACTTAAGTTGGTTTATACGGGCTAATTGAAAAAACAATTATTAGAATCGTCAAAAACAATTGTTAGAATCGTCAAAAAATACCAAGAAAATGATGGAAATACCAAGAAAATGACCTAATTTGGAATATAACAAACTTTACGTGAAGTAATTTGGAAAGCATAAAACATTGAAAACACAAAGACAATAGACGCCTCGAAAATGTTAATGAACTCCACAAAACCGCAAAAATAAACACTTTTAAAAAATCGAGAAAAATTACGTATAGGCTCATAGAATTTCAACTTGAGAAACTGTATCGCAATATAATTATTTTAATCCGGGGAAAAAACTCAAAATCTAAACCAAAACTTGCCAAATGACAATTGGAAAAGACCAATGAACGCAAGGAAACAAAAACACTGACTTGTTGTTTTTAAAAAAACTTTAGGGGGAAATTATATGTCCTTAAAGCTCTTTGAATTTCACGAATAATTTGTGATTGGTGCTTTTTTAATAAAATTGCCCCATTTGAGAAAGTTGGATCAATAGATGAAATATTTATTATGCTGGTAAATCTGATAGTTAAATTCCATTTTCGAACTTAGAAAGTTTGCCTTCCTTTTAACAAAAAAAAAAAACTTGAAAAATTAAATGTCAAACAGCTAAAAGTCAAAATTGAACAAATTGTAAGACTTTTTCCTGAAAAAAAAATCACCAAGACCTATACAATAGTACTAACCACGCTCATTACTCTCTTTCTCCGCCACTTGTAACTTTGTTGCTGCAGAGCGTACTTTGTCTTACATTTAGCAAATGACATTGAATCGACCATGACATTGAATCGACCATGACATTGAATCGACCTTGGAGTCCCGTTTTTTAGCAGTCCAGTGCAACAAGTGAGGCATATTTGATTGAAATACAAAAAAAACGTTACCCCTAGAGTTGAACAACACGGGAAAAAAACTATCTCACGGTTTTCAGATAAAACTTTTTCAAAAACAAAATAATCTAAACACTACACTGTTTTACGCGCATCTAAATCATTCATGTCGAATGTAAATGAAACGGAGTAAACAGTCGCTACTTGCCAATTCACTTTTGAAGTGAGCACTCTGACTTGTTAATTGTATTGAGTCTGCTCGAAATCGGTCTGCTTTGAGAACTAGCACCAATTACTCCAATTCCATATAAAATACTTATTATTCCAAACTCAGTATAACAATTCGTTGATATGGACTTTTATACTATTGCGGGATGTTATGGGTAATTTCAAAAAAAGGACTTTGCCCAAAAAGCTTAGTTGTTTCTCCACTAAAATAAGTGAGAAGGGTGAAAAATTTTGAGGTATTGGAATTTACCAACGACAACATTTTTCGTACAAAAAATTTGGAGAGTCGCCGTTTTTGCTGGAAAATTTTCAGAACTATTTCTTTCGTTTGAACTCTTCGTCTCAGATTTGATAAAGTAGTATTAAGAAGTCAAAAAATCTAAAAAAGATCAGTTCACAAATGTGACTTTCCAAAATTAATTTTTTTTCTGCAAAAATAGAGCGTACCACTTAATCAGAGAAGATTTTCGGACTTAACCTGAGAATGGGCAGGATGGTTTTTGAAAAGTCAAATAGTTTCCAAAAAACAGTCAGATGTTCGAAACTTTGACATTTTTGAAGACCATAATCTTTTCGAAACAAAATTGGGAGTGACTGCTGACGCAGGTAGGCTTTCAACGACCTGCTGTTTTGATTAAACCCTCGATATCAGAATTGGCAGGATAGCTATCGTATCCTAAGCCAAAAACTTTCAAAAAAACGGCTAAAAAATCAACATTTGACTTCTCCGAGGGCCATAACTTTTTGTGTCAAAAAAATTTGGGCGTAATTGCACATTCAAATGAGCTTTCCGAAATCCTTTCTTTGAACTGAACGCAAAACCTTAGGTACGCGAAAAGAGTGGTCGAGAAATTTCAAAAATTTTACAAAAATCGGTCAAAAACTCAATCATTGAAACCAAAACCTCAGATTTGGGAGAGTAGTTTTTGAGAAAATGGAAAAAAATCAAAAATATCCCCCCCAGACTTTTTCGAAGGCTGTAGACAGAGGGGTAAAGTAAGAAGAGACTAAGCAGCCCATAGGGGAGTAGGCGGTCTTTCCATTGAAAACCCCTTCTTTGAAAATCGGTAAAAATATTTGAGAAAAACAAACTTGTAGCAAAACTGAAAAAAAAATTCTAAAGCGTCTCAAGAAACCCAATCCCATACATTGTCATAATACCTGTTACTATCAAGCAAAAATACAAGGCAAACATGTCAAGAGGGAAATGTGAAAATAAAAATAGCAACGGAACAAAACTAACGGAGGGAGCGGAAACAAAGCCGACAACCTTAGAGCAGACAAGTTAAGTCGAATAAAAAATGATTTTATATAAAATTTCAAATCGCCCCTAAAACTACAATGAACAACACTAGCAACTTCTATGATAATAGCTTACAGCATAAAAATATCCGCAATTTGGCAACTAAGCCGAAAAAATTTGGAGCAGATGAACGAAAGTCGACAAATCAATTTTGAACAGAAAAAAATTCAATTGTGTCCTTACTGAAAGAAAACAACGTGCAAAGGCGACGCCGTTACCTCTAGGCCAAGTAAGAAGAAACCTGGAAGTTGTTAAGATTCAGTAATCAAGAAAGATGAAAATGTGTAAGTTGTTTACGGGAAACAAAGTGCTCCTGCATATCAAATTGAGGAACTTAAAGCATACAGATCATAAAAACTTACCTATTTATATAAACAACGAAACACACATCAACTTAAAATATTCTATCCATGGGCGGATCTAGGATTCATGAGGGGGTGGAACTTTCAAAAATTAAGTTGAACTTTTTTCTGATCACTCTAAAATGACAATGAGTTCACACAGAATGCACCTGTTTTGAAAATTGCAAAAAATGAATGATACTAACCTCCGGGTCGAACATCTTGAATTTGTCTAGCCCAAGCCCTGAAACGAAAATTGAAAATGAACACAGAGGCAAAACGAAGCTTCGCACCACTTGCGATACAACAAAAAAATATAGCACGGCAAACTAAGCGACAGGAAATGAGACAAACATTTTTTTTGCACAAGGTCTAAAAACATGATCAACCGAAGTTTTCATATACTTGTTTTGATTTTGTCTTCAAAAAGTTCCTTCCGAAAAACATACCAAGTAAGACACGTGAATACCACGAACCTTCTGGCTGTTTGCTGTCTGGGATGATGCTGCGGACAAAATCAGCCGGAGTCATGTAGACTTCCTTTTCTTTGCCCACCTGCAGAGTAGCATAGTAGCGGAAGATCTTGTCAGGAGTGGAGTACAACTTAATTCTGTTCTCGTACTCTATTACCTGTACAACACAGTCTAACCTTTTGCAAAGTACTAATTATGCAGCAGACAACAACAAGTCAGTATTTTCATAGAACAAGAGTTTTTTTATTCAGTTAAAAGCAGCTAAATTATCAAACGATTCCAACAGTTCCAGGTATTGGAGACAAGAAAACGGAAAAAGTGAACCCAATGAAATCGATTTTTAGCTCTATAGAACAAATTACATCACCATAAATTTTAGGCACCTATGACGATTAACTCATTTTTGTTTAATAAACCCAATTAGAAAGAACCTGGACATCTAATATGCAAATCTAATAGCGTCCTCCCAAACTAGTCAAATTACAAGTCGGTCTATTCGCGTTCATTTGTTTCATCTTTTCTGACTATAGAATAGACTGGAAACAATTAATGAATTTTTTTCATCCGGTGAAAAAAAAAATTAAGAACTACAAGCCACGTTCGAGCATAAAGTCAGCCACTATTTTTTGCACCAATTACCCTTTTATTAGAAGAGAGCGTAATTTGTGTTCAAAAGGTTAGCTAAGTTAATCCAATAAGAGCTTTCTGGAACAGCCAACAATATAAAAGTGAGCTTGAACAAACTTTTCTTGAAAAAAAAAACGCGCAACCTAAATAAATGAAGCTCACTGTGTTTTACCCTCAATTCAAATACAAAAAAAATATTTTATAGATCCAAAAATATTTCTTCTCACCTTTTGGTCTCGGAACCCGGTCTTCTTTTTCTTCTTATCGGCCTCATTCTCTTTCGGTTCTTCAGAAGCCTCATTTGGTCCACTACTGCTGCCCAGAAGAGGCATCTCATTTTTAAGTTGCACTTTCCTGTCTCTTATTTTAAGCCATACAAACAAGAGACTGCTGCCCAGAACACCCAATGAGATGAGCCACTTCTTTCTGTTAGCATCACTTTCATCTTTAACTCTCCGGCTTAAAGTGTCGTCTACCTGAGAACAAAATGGTAGCTCATCACTTTTATTACTATTTATCCGAGAGCGAAATAATCCACGTGACAGCTGTTCAAATCAGCGGGAAAAGGTTGTCTTACTCTTGATTAACAATTAAACGCAATGATTTTGAATAAATTTCTGAGATGTTAACTCTTACTTCACCCTTAAGCAACCAGCACGGAATGTAGAAATTATTGGTTCTATTTTTTCTTTTGAGTCAATTAGCATAACTGAACACGTAAATGTTGGGCAAAAAAAGGCTTGAAGTCTTCTCAATCTTTCAGAAAACTAATTTTTCTTTTACGCAAATTCTTATTGCCAATTCATTAATTAAAATATAACAAAATTTGAAAACACGGATTTACAAAAAATGGCGAGGAAGCCAATCTGTTTCCAGCAAAAACGAGCCAAAAAATGACCAACTGAACGTTAACAAGCCTGTGTGTGGAGTTCTGACAACTGTCGGTGAGTTAATCTCTCCTGGATTGATGTCGGAGCAGAGCTTAGAAGACTACAAGTGTATGAGGTATTAATGGTTTTATCTGTCCTTGGAAGAAGTGTAAGAGAGCGGTGCAGAAGTCTCAGCTCTTTTCTAGACAACACAGACATAATAGACACCTGAAAATAAGAACTTTCCACGTTTGCCATTAATAACTTGATTTTCCATTTTTTCTTTTTTATTAATTTAAGCATGATTCATTCACTTATTAGGTGTGAACATCTAGTTCTCTGCCCTCTCCAAATCCCCGACCACGAAAAAGTGTAAGCATTATTGAGAAAGAAAGCCATTTTTTAGAAAGCTGCATATTTAATTTAATAATCAACAAAAAAGCTCTTTCTTGAAAAAGAAAATCTATAAAAAAACTTACTCCATTAATCTACCATGAACAAATTTATTTTCATATTTACAAAAGAACCTATTTACAAATGCACAATATTCAAATTATATACACAATTTACGGCGCATCATGATTTGTAGATAAATAGAACATATGGAGAGAGAGAAAGACCCAAATCATCGTACAATATCTAACAACAATCAGTCTCTCCTTTTCGCTTCTGATAAAGTTCATGATTCATGACAAGGGGTAAAGACTAATGTTCATCTGATAAATTTGATGACAAGGAGTATAGCTTATATAGCTTTGGTGGGAAAGTTGTGTAAAACTTTCCATATGGGGACATAACGGACACTGTTCTGTTCTACTGCTGTAGGAGTCTGAGTATTGCGGGGTCCTGTTGGACTCCCTCTCTAAACTCCTCCACACTCAGGAAGTCATCCCGGTCCACATCCATGGCTGCAAATACTCTCTCTACCTACCAAAAAATAACTGTAACAAGGAGAGAACAGCAAGTGCAAGTAGAGAACAATGTTTGCCCACAATTATTTACAAAAAGAACTCAAAATAGGGAAATTTGATAAAATCAGAAAATTTTTTTTAAATGTTTTCCCTTTTTTGCCCCTCTATCAAGCTAATTTCAGATGGTATAAGCAAATGTGAACTTTAATCTTCAGCAGCTTTATTTAGCTTAAAAGGCATCTCCGACACATTGTGAAACAAAAAATTAAATACCATTTCGGGATTTCCAACAAAAAACGTTTTGGGGGCATTTTGTATCTACAGTCATTAAGCACCGAAAATATTGGATGTACAATTTATCGGAATTAAGGGTGCAAAATTTTCAGCTCGGAGAAAATGAGACTTTACACTATCAACTTTTACGAGACGCTTGAAATCGCGTGGGGAAAACCCCAAGACCAAAGCGCCTCACCACTCTAGAATGGTCGGAAGAATACTTATTAGACCATTCTAATACTTAGTGAGCACCCGAATACTTAGTGAGAAATTATCCAGCTAAGATTTCTCTTACTTTCACGCGAGAGGCTTCCTTTCTGACTTGGTCATCTGTATAGTTCTTGCCCATCATGAGGAAGATACTGTCAACTACACTGAGCAGTTCGTCCCTGGATATTCGCCCGTCCCTGTCTGTGTCATACAGCTCAAATGCCCACATCATCTTCTCCTCGTTTGTTCCTGAATATCACTCACACTTATAACAGATTCAGATGATTTATGATTCATCCCAAATATCAGATGATTCATCCCAAATATCAGATGATTCATCCCAAATATCAGATGATTCATCCCAAATATCAGATGATTCATCCCAAATATCAGATGATTCATCCCAAATATCAGATGATTCATCCCAAATATCAGATGATTCATCCCAAATATCAGATGATTCATCCCAAATATCAGATGATTCATCCCAAATATCAGATGATTCATCCCAAATATCAGATGATTCATCCCAAATATCAGATGATTCATCCCAAATATCAGATGATTCATCCCAAATATCAGATGATTCATCCCAAATATCAGATGATTCATCCCAAATATCAGATGATTCATCCCAAATATCAGATGATTCATCCCAAATATCAGATGATTCATCCCAAATATCAGATGATTCATCCCAAATATCAGATGATTCATCCCAAATATCAGATGATTCATCCCAAATATCAGATGATTCATCCCAAATATCAGATGATTCATCCCAAATATCAGATGATTCATCCCAAATATCAGATGATTCATCCCAAATATCAGATGATTCATCCCAAATATCAGATGATTCATCCCAAATATCAGATGATTCATCCCAAATATCAGATGATTCATCCCAAATATCAGATGATTCATCCCAAATATCAGATGATTCATCCCAAATATCAGATGATTCATCCCAAATATCAGATGATTCATCCCAAATATCAGATGATTCATCCCAAATATCAGATGATTCATCCCAAATATCAGATGATTCATCCCAAATATCAGATGATTCATCCCAAATATCAGATGATTCATCCCAAATATCAGATGATTCATCCCAAATATCAGATGATTCATCCCAAATATCAGATGATTCATCCCAAATATCAGATGATTCATCCCAAATATCAGATGATTCATCCCAAATATCAGATGATTCATCCCAAATATCAGATGATTCATCCCAAATATCAGATGATTCATCCCAAATATCAGATGATTCATCCCAAAGAATAAGACCATTTCAAGACATTCGTTGAACCCATATTCAAAGAACCCTCTAAAGATAGCTGGAATCCTAGGCATCTGGTACGACCATTAACAACTCAATCACAAAGAAGACAAAAAATTCACCACTTTAACCCAAAAACAACTAGTTGAAGAGCCTCGTAACGTCAATAATACCTGCAAAACAAAGCCACTATGTACACGCGGAGAGCAGGTACATGTGATATTTAGAAAGAACTCGGGAATCCTTGTCATTGACAACATAAAAGAAGACTTGATTATGTCTCCAGTTACGACGCGAAATTGCACACCTTCAAGTCAGCATCTTAATTCGACTCATAAACCTCAAAAATGACGAGACCTGCCAGCACTGCTGATCAAAGCAAGAAATAAGAAGCGACTAAGTTTGAACAAAACTAAACCAGGGAACCAAGAAACCAGATATTTTTCGTCGACCTGAGCAGCAAGGGGCTTAAAGAATAAGATTGATTGTTAGAATATTGAATAATTACGACAACTGGTATTGGTAGCAGCTCTAGAATTAGTGAGCTAACTCAACAAACTAATGACAACTCGAATCCTAAACCCTTTGCTCTAAGACCAATTGACAAGGGACCTGAGAGTTGATAAGGTTCCATAATAAAGCAATTTCAGCGACGGCAGAATAATTTTCAGTTTGCTGGTTATAAAAGTGATGTCCACCCCCTGATGACCAGTGAAACCAAAACAATTCCTCTGTCTCATGTTCCGCAGATACGGTATAAACAAAATTAGACACCACAACCATAGCTTTGCTATCATTTCCCCGTTTTACGGCATTTTCAACATCTTGAACAAGGCTGTCGGGTACGAAAAAAGACTGTTCAACTTGAAAATCCTCCCTCTTTTGAAGTATAGAGAACTCCACTTAGAAATGTTTCTACAAGCTGTTATCGACTGCAAATACAAGGCCGCAGAGGGACCGATTACCTTATACCAGAGACACAGTAAGACGAGACAATGCAGTGGCTTTGAGCTTCCTTGAAAAACACCGACTCAGAATAGCGGAAAACATTCTCGACGAGAGCGCCAAAAAATTTGCGACAATCCGACTGAGAAACAATTTACCGAAGGCTATTTCGATTCAACTGGAAACCTCAACGAGGCGGGTGTTTGTTCCTGCATATCGTGCAACCCACCCCAGAAACTCCTGCTGGCTGATAATTGAAGGATTCGAGCTCTTAAGCACTAGACCCTAAAAACTTAACTACTAAAGTTCAGAAAAATAACAAAATGCTGCCAATTGTATGAGCAGACAAACAATTTCTTCCCTCATCTGGTCCTACAAAACTTCATCCTCAACACTTTTATTGATGATCTCCGATATCATTGAGATGCTACTTGTCCAACTCCAAAGTCATTTATTCGGAATCGGGTGATTTAAATTAATAACACAGACAAAACGTACAGATAATTTTGAATGCATTTTTTTAATAGAGCTCATTTAAAACAAGATGGGACGGGCGATAAATTAAAATAATATATGCACCTATGAAGGACACACGGAGCTACAGTTAGCAAGTTCTGCTGGACAAAAGAAAACAAATTTTTTCATGACGAAGGTTGTGGTATTTCAAAAAATTTAACATTCTTTTTTGCATATTTCTCCGCACTTAAAAAGGGAATCATATCTCAATGATCTGGTGACAAGTATGTTCATGCGCAATTCTGTTAATAACTAATACTAAATTTTGTTAATAGATCCAGCAATTTTTTAACAAACAGCTTTCCCAGCCTTCTCGTCTTTCATTTTCTGATGGTAATCTGATAGATAAACCAGTGGTAGGAAAATATTGTCATGGTAATATAGTATTACCTATTGTTTTTCATTGAATCATGCAAAAACATGTTTCCTTTAGTATTAATCATAATAAATGAGTTTCTACCTCGAGCTGTAACGTTCAGTGCCTTTATGAAGTCATCGAAACCCAAAACTCCTTTTCTTTCGTTGTCAAAAACTCGGAAAACATGCATTGCAAATTGATCTGGTTTGCCATCCGGATGAAAAACTTTGTAAACATTCATGAACTGTGACTGATCGACTTTTCCATCAGGAAACTCGTTCATAAATAGTTTATAATGCAGTTTTACTTCACTTTCACTGAAGGCTGTATTTTGGAGGTACTGATGAAGTTTGTCAGCAGAGAGTTTACTGGCTGATTTTCCCATTGTATCTGAAAATATTTTCAAGATTCCGAGCCAGTAGTTTTTAAAATGCGTGAAATTGTACAAAACCGCTGAGTTTAGCAAGTTTATCAGAAGAAGAAGAAAGAACACTTGAATTACTATACAATAAAAAGCCGAGGCATCAGTGTAGCAAAGTGTAAATAATAAAATTGGTTATAAATTCATTGGTTACATCAAACAAAAACAAAACATCAGAAAACAAGCAATAAACAAAACAAAAAAAAACAAAATCGGTTACAGTTCGGAAATTGGTTGATTAAAGTATGTGAAGTTTCGGATACTATAGAAAATTAAAGATTTAAGAATTAGGAACAAGCTGGTAATAAAACTTTACAAACAATTTTACAGATAGTCCAATTATACAAGGTATATGCAGAGTATATACAGTTTCTCTTTCAAGCAATGTGTGAAAAATTAAACTGAATTAAAAAATATAGAACTAGCAAAAACGGTAATCACGCCACGTATTTGTATTAGTACATATAGGATTGTTTCTCAATTCACTCACGTAAAATTCTTTCAATTTTTTCTTGAATTCTGTTTTCGATTTTTCTAAATTGCGCAAAATTATGGGCAGTGAATTCCATTTTTTAGAAGTCAAATGAAAAAATGATTTTTGTAGAGAAGCAGTCGAACAATGTTTGTCAAAAATAATTTGTTTCGTTCTTTCGTTGAGCCTATAATTGGCAGTCGGTAGTCTCAGTGTATTTTCAAAAGCCTTCTTTTTGTTTGTAAGATATTGGTATAAGTATGTTATACACTTTAACTCAATTCTTTTCTCGATTCCAATGAACGATTTGCTAATGCGAAGAAGGGAAGAAGATTTAAAATTCGATCTGAAATATGTTCTTTTTAGCGCCCAGTTCAACTGTTTCTCCAGAGATAGCATCAAAGTAGCATTAATTTGTTGTAAAAAAATTGCTGAATAATCTAAATGTGATAAAACAAGACAATGAAGCAAGGCAACTAATGATAATGTCGGCAGTTGTTGTCCAATTGTATCAATAGTTTTAATCCCTTGGGCCATTTTTTGGAGAATTGTTTTGATTTGAGCATGAAAAGATAAACTTGAATCAAGAATTATGCCTAAATATTTGCATTCTGATTTTTTGGCTACATAATGCCCACTAATTACTAGTTTATCAGTATCCACATTTTTGCTATCATTTTTTTGACAAAATGTTATAAATTCCGATTTAGATGCATTCAGATTCAATTGGTTCTCTGCAAAAAATTCCGTTAGATTATTGAGTGATTTTTGCAATCGATTCAAAGCATCCTCAGAAATTATAGAAGAGGAAAAAACCATACAGTCGTCAGCATATTGAACTAAAGTACAACCCTCATATAATCGCTCTTGTATGTCATTAACATAAATATTGAACAACAACGGACAAAGTACCGTTCCTTGTGGGACACCTCGTTTTATTTCAATCCAGTCTGAAAAAATTCCATTGACGTTTACTCTTTGAATACGTTTGTTTAGGAAGCTAGCAATTAAAGCATTTGCTCCATTTGAAAAACCGAGAGAAAGCATTTTTTCAATTAAAACTTCATGCGAAATAGAATCAAAAGCCTTGGACAGATCTAATAAAGCTGCATGTACGATTTTTTTTGAATCTATTTGATTTCGAATACTTTCTGTCACATAAACAAGAGCATCTTGTGTTGAAATGTTTTTGCGAAATCCGAATTGAAATGGTGTCATTATTTGAAATTTGTCAAGATGTTCTGTTATTTGGGCATGTAAAATTTTTTCAAAAATTTTAGAAAAAGCACAAGTTATTGATATTGGCCGATAATTTTTTGCATCCATTGGGTCATCTTTTTTGAACAAAGGGGTTACGTTTGCTTTTTTCAGTTCGATCGGGAAAATGTTCTCATCTAAGCAAGTATTTATGACAAAAGTTAAATGTGGAACTATAACTGATTGACCGTCAATGATTGCCCAAGCAGGTACGGTACAAGGTCCGAGAGGTTTTCCAACATTGATTTTTCGAACTATATCAAAGCATTGCTTCACTGTAATGTGTTGAAAATGAAAAGATGCAGATTCAGAGGCAGATTTGTTGTAATTCGGAGGCTTTTTAGCGCCGAAAAATTCGCCTAAGTTTGAAAAAATATAATTTAAATGATTGGCAATTTTTTTGTCTTGGGTTATCATTTCACTGAAGGAATTTCGTAGAACTGTAATTCGATGGTTGCCAGAACATGTACCTCTAACTTGGTTAATATATTTCCATTTTTGTTGGATAGTGCTGAGAAGTGAAAAACAATTTTTTGAATGATCGAATTGTTTACTTCTAATCAATTTGCTCATTTGATTACGTAAAAACTGGTACTTTGACCAATTATCGCTTGTGCTTTGACTGCGATATGATCTGAGTGAATTCTGTTTCTTAGTCAACAATTGCTGACATTCTGAATCGAACCATTCCGTTTTCAACACGTTTTTTGGTTTAAAATTACGAACAAACTTTTTTTCGATAGGAGCATGTTGCTGTAGAGCACAAGAAATTAAATAAATCATCGTCGAGAACATGTTTTGTGCGTCTGTACATTGATATAAGAGATACCAAGGAAGAGCGGAGAGTGAATTGCAAAATTCATTTTTCTGATAATTTTTCTTATTGAAAGTCGTAATTATCCTCGGTAAAATTTTGCCGCATTTTATATCCGTCAAAATAAATGAAGCAAAATGGTCGGTTTTATAAGGTGTATCAAAACAAAACTCAATGCCGTTTGTTTCATAGTCACTGATTATGTAGTCGATATGAGTTTTTGTTGAGGAACTAATTCTGGTCTCATCGTTTGGACAAAAAACCTTCAATCCATATGGAATAATTATAGAATCTAAATTTTCTTTTTCTTTGCTATCCAGATAATTTATGTTATAATCACCCAAAAGCGTAATTTTATTAGAAACTGAAAAAGCATTATCTATGTTAAGCGTTAATTGTTCCAAAAAATCAATAAAGTTTGATCTGCTTGGGTTATAACACAAATTAACTAACATTTTTTCTTTACTCGAAATGTTAAATGTAGATTTGCACTCAACCCACACTGACTCATATTTTTCTTTATCAAATAAATTTAGATCAGGCCTCAATTTCGGAGCCAATTTGACTGGTATATATAACAAAACGCCACCGCCTTTCTTTTTTACCGCTGATTGCCTATCATATCTGAACATCGCATGCGTTCTAGGTTGGAAATTCCATAAATTGTCACTATCTTCTTTTTTAAGCCACGTTTCGGAAATTCCTATAATTGTGTTTTCGCCCATATCATCAAGAAATTTTTTCAATTGCATCCGTTTTCTAATAATACTTTGAAAATTCAAATGAACAAATTTAAGATTTGCACAATTTTTTGAACAGATACCGTAGACTGTTTCAATGGTTTCGATAGGACCAGGGTTTTTTTCAACATCCCCACTTTGGGTCAGTAACAACGCGAAAAGGAAAAGATGAGTCAGTGTGGTAGCTCTCCGCTCATTTATCCCACATTTCGTTGATAATATCTTTTGCTGGCAGCTTAGATAGCCCCAGTAAACAATAGTTTTTTCTTTAGTTTCCATCTGAGCCTTGGAAATTAGAAAAATTGCACAAAACAACCAGAATTTAATATTCAGCATAATAGGTTAAATAAATTAAATAATCGCCAAAGTTTGCACCAAGAAAAAATGCGAAACTAGTATTTCCTAAAAAATTTTGCACCGTTTTGGAAAAATTGTAACATTTCTGCCGTTTTTGGATCTAAATTTGATGATTGTTGGGTTTGCTTCATTCTGGGGCGGGTTGTAATCTCACATGTGTTTGCATTAATATCAGAACCCCTAAAAGAATCTCTAAAACTTTGCACCAAAATTTCAACACCCCCATCAGAAGGATGCAAACCATCCGAGCTAAGAGCATCTGTATTTTGACTAAAAATTTTGTTTATGTCTAAAATATCCAATTTTACTTCGCCCAAGTCTTTTACATTCCGTACTAAATTAAGAATTTGCTTGTTTAGCTTCTGTACATTTGGATTAAAATCTTTTCTAAAAGCGCCTAAGGGAGTTACAGTACATAGTGAAATTGTTTCTGGGGAGAATTTATGATTTATGAGATAAATTAGTTTTTCTAAGCTACTCACGGCTTCCTTCGCGTCGAAATCACTTGAGAGGCAGTCATTTATTCCAATTAGCGTAGTTACATGTTTAAAATGTCGCGATTTACTGTTTCTCACGCGTTCCAGCAATGCAGAAATTTTGTGCCCACCAAATCCTCTCGCCAACACATTTTCCGATATTTGTTCCCCATTGATTCTGTTAACAATTGAGTCTCCCAGTAATAGGCCAGAATATTCTCCTTCTCGTGGTAAAAATAAATGTTTTCGTTGCTGGTCGAATTTTTCTTCTTGAATATTGGTTGCTTGTATTTTGATTTCTTGGTTATTCTTGCTTTCTTGGTTATTTTCGCTTCGTTTGTTCTGATTTCTGCTCCGAGTTCCAATCTTGCTCCATTCGTTTTCAAATTTGTTTTCTGTAATTTTCGAATTGCCCGTGTTTTTAAAATTTTCTAGATCAAAAAATTTGTTTCCTCTTTCTTCCTCTTTCGTTGATACAGTTAAGTTTTCGATAATTCGTTTAAAATAAGTAACATTTTCGACTAAGTCTTTATACAGCTCGTATTTCAATTCGTCGTTCAGATTTCGGAAAGTTTCGAGGTCAAACATGTTGGCGATTAAAAGCGAAATTAAAAATAAGACATTAAAATGAACCGACTGATCGCTAGAAATTTAATTTGGTTGTGATTCAAAAATAATTTGGTTGTGATTCAAAAATATTGTTTAGATCATTTCATAATTGCGTACTTGAATCTCTCCAAGAAACTGATTGATCTCTTTTCATCTCCGGGTCTTGTTCCTCTTTCCAACATATACTTAACTTCAACTTCTCCTCTCCTATTAACTCCTTCCAACTTTTTCGCTTGTAAATTTGTA